ACATAATTCGTATTATGCTACTAAATAAATAAATACTAATAAATAAATATACTAAATATACTAAAATATACTAAATAACTATACTATTAAAATAAATACAAATAAGAATACAATAAAATAAAATAATAGGAAATTATGAAAGTGGAGGAAACCCATGGTAACAGCGTAAGAGTTTACACATGAAAAAGTGTAAGTAATTTAAATATGAATTTTTAATTATTTAAACTATTTTCATAAGTATTAATATAATATTATCAAATAGATTAAACTCTTTGATATAAAGAAACTTGAATGGTCATTTATGGTATATATTTGATATTAATTTATATAAAATAAATGGATATAAATTATATTTAATTTTAAGAATGTCACTGGTGATGATGTTGACTCAAGAGTGTAGTTTTCTTCTGTGTTAAGTAGGTATCCAAATTATTTATTATTTCTAAAATATAAAAAATTTATATTAAATTAATATTTTATATAGTGACAGATGGATATATTATTATATTTGATGGTTGTACAAATAATGAAACTAGTGTTAGTCCAGACCTTGCTGTATTAGATACAAACAAATCTCCATATGAATTGTCTATTCCAAGTAATTCCAAAGTCAATTCTCCATGATCTATTTGGGGTCATACTGCAAATTTATATTTTAATTACATATATAATAATTTGATAATAATATTTTTAATTTAAATTTATTTTTTAGGAATATATTTAGATACTTTGTTATATAATTCTCAATTATATCTTTATAATATTAATTCGTGAGTTACGAGTTTTAATCCTCCTGTTCGTACCACTACAAGTACTAATACAAGTACTAATACAAGTACTCATAATGGTCCTCTAATTACACTTACAAAAAATCGTCAAAAGGTTTAGCGATTGGACTTTCGTTAGGAATAAGTGCAGTGGTTGTGATTTCTGTTGTTATAATTTATATTTTACATAAAAGGAGAGTAATTCTTCAAGTATCTGGAGATCACAAATTAAAACTTGTGAAATATTTGTTTATTTTTTAAAAAAATTTATATGAATTGTATCTTTTAAATCATATATTTTTAACATTACTAAAATATCGTATTCAAATCTGAAGAGATATTGTTTTTAATTAAAAATTGACATAAATACATCATAAGTTAAGTGATTTTATCATATGTAAACGGACAAAGAAACAACTTCAAAAAGGCAAAGATTTTTTAATAATATTAAAAAAAATCAGATTAATCAAGTAATTAATCAAGTAATTAAAGGACAATGCCTATAGATGTTAACGTGATATTTTTACGAAATTTTTCACGGACGTCCGACTTTAAACATGAATATCTCGATGAATATAGATTCTATAGAAATGAAATACATATAAACATGTAGCCAGGAACCAGGACTTTCGATCAATCTTAGAAACACTTTAGTAAAAAATCGCTCCCTGTCACGAAATCGTGAGAAAATTCAAAAAACAGAATTTACGCCTAAAAAAAAATTTCCTGATGGCCTTTAAAAAAAATTAGAAAAATTATTAATTTGCCTTTTCAAACAATTAAACCAAAGCGATTACCCTTTCAATTGATGTTTGAAATTTATTGATTACCTATTTGTGGCAAAAAGGTATCCATATAGTCATAGTCATAATGATGATATTTAAAATTTTTTAATTGAGTATTCAACATATAACATATATTAGCCAAGCAAAGCAAACAGGGATATAAGCTCGTTTGTATTTAGAAGAACCTTGTAACCATGAATAAAAGCTATAATTAAGGAATTGTTGAAAGTATTAGAAATGGCAACTCTGATACACAAAACTATAATATTTATATCTAAATAATGTAAATTTCCATTCAGAACAATTGTTATTCTTATAGTTCATTAGCTAAGGTTCTCGGTGCCTGATAAATTTTTATGCTATCACATACCCAGAAGCTTTAATAGAAAAATCCACTATAATAGTGATTATATATATAAAAGTTAATAAAAAATCATAGTTCATCCTTCTTCTTTCTTTTTACATTATAAATAATTCTTTCGCTTTATACTATGGTGCTGGAAGTCTCTACAATAAAAATTGTATCACTTTAAAACCATTATCATCTAAAACGGAAAATCTAAAAAAGTAAACCGGTTAAATTGTTCTTCAAGACATGCTCTATCAAACTACTAGTGGTATTTTATTATTATTTTCATATATTACATACCTTTTTTCTTTCTTGGAATTTGATTTTTTTTGTTTGCGGATGTTAAAGGTAGGTGTTTCAATATTAAGTAATTTCTTTCTTGGATGCATTTATTGAATCTTTTATTTATTTTTTACTATTTCTTATCTTCTTTACTTTGATTCGCAATTTTATTAGAAGATTTTTGAGCTTCTCAAATATTTAAGATATTTAGGAAATTTTACTTCTTGTGGTTGACACGATTGCATTGTGTACATACTGTATGTAAATGGAAATTTAATATTGAGTATGCTATGCGATAAGAAATTATTTCATATTATATTTTTATGATACAAAAAAAATGTAATTATTAATAAATTATCAATAATAAAAAATAAATTAATTCATAATTTCATAATTACTATCTTCTTTTTTCTTTTCCTCCATTAAAATATTAAAATATTTTTTTCGTATATTATATTTTATAAAAACTTTGAACTTCTTCAATTAATAATAAATAATAAATTAAAAAAAAAAAAAAAATTTTTTTTTTTATTTTTCTCTTCCGACCAGCATCGTGAAAATATATTCATTGCATGGGATAATTTATATTTAATTTAATTATCAACTTCATTAATGTATGAATTATTTTATTTGGATTTATCGAAGTCATTTGATAATACAAACGGAATTTAATTGGAGATCTTCCTATATATACGTCGGAGCCAACTTCTATTGTTAGTTTAGGTTTAAATAAATTCTATTTCTAATTGGTTGTTTTATAATGAATAAAGATAAGATATTCACGATTATGATTTTTCAGATCAAGTTTATAAATATGATTACCCTATTTCATACCATCAATTTCCTTCCAGGCAGTATTTGATGGACTACTTCATAACGATATAATACTTTTTCAATTACTTGGAAACGGTAAACATATCTAAAAATCTTCATTTACCAAGTAATCAATATATCAGCTAGTATTTTACCAAATGGAATTATTGTTTATATCGGTGGACAAGAAAATACTGAAGAAGCATATTACCTTCTTGCAAAAATGAAAAGTGTGGTAAATTTAATACGTAACAATAAATTATTTAAATTAATTTTCATAAATATTTAATATACATTATCCAATAAATTAAGCCTTTTAATACAAGTAATCTTGAGTGATCATATATGGTATATATTTATGTATTGATATTAATTTATATAATTTAAATGTAATATTAATCGTATTTAATTCTAAGAATTCCACTGGTGTTGAAGGAAGAAGACGTTTTTCTTATGTGTTAAGTGAGTATCTAAATTATTTATTATTTATTATTTCTGAAACTTAAAAAAGATTATATTAAAAGTAATATTTTTATATAGTAAGATATGGACATATTATAATACTGTATATGAAATAAAACAATAAACAATTCTATTGTTAGCCCAGATCTCGTTGTATTAGATACAAACAAATCGCCGTATGAATGGTCTATTCCAAGTAGTTCCAAAGTCAATTCTCCACGACCTCTTTATGGTCATTCTGTAAATCTATATGATAATTACATTTGGTAAGTATAATACAATATTTAATTTTTTAGGTGTTTATGTAGATATCTTACGATTTAATTCTAGAGTATATCTTTATGACATAACAAATGATATATGGATTAAAAATTTTAATCTTCCTGTTTCCACCAATACAACTACTAACATTTGTACTGGTACTTGTATTAGTACAAGTGCTAATGAAATTCCAATTCCATCTACAAAGAAGCCATCAAATGCTTTAGCTATTGGGTTTAGAATAGGAATGAGTGTAGTGCTTGTAATTTTTTTGCAGTGATTTTTATTTTTCGTAAAAAGAATAAAAAAAAGTAAAGAAAGCCAAGTTCTTAAAATAGCTGGAAACGATTTATTGTAATCTTGATTCATATCTTCATATTTAAAATAATAATATACTATACTCTTTCTTGTACATTTTGACCAAGTATGCACTCATTAGTAATCTTCCTTATTTATTTTCGATCTAATTAATTTGAATCATAAACTTCTATAATGAATAAATCTGTATATAACTGAAATAACAATAAACCTCTATAACTGAAATCACAATAAAATTATGCTTTAGTAATTTTCTAAATCGTTTAGTGTCATTAGTAGTTTTTTGAATCTAAAAAGGTGTCAAGAATGGATTTATCAATAAGAAAAAAATTAATAATAAAATGCAACAGCAACAACAATAATAATAATAATAAATAATTAATAATAATAACAAATTACCCATTTCACATTTATCACAAAAATCGTCATCTTATCGGTGAATAATATTTCCATTTTTCTAGTTCTAAAAGTAATTAAAGATAATTACGTTCAAATAATTTGTATTTTTTGTTATAATTTAATTAATTACTTAAAATCTTCCCTATTTTTTACTTGTCTATTATATTATCTTCCCTAAATTTTTCACAATTGTTTAATTTTCTTAGTAAAATATTTCTAATGTTTTCTATTTGTTATTGTTTAATAGCTTTTTTCCCAATTTTAGATGATAGAATTTAAGTATTCTAGCGAATGTGACAACAATGTGTCATTTTCATTGCTGCGTTTGAGCATTGGTTGAGTCTAATAGATGGATATTGAAATAAATTAATCAATTTACGAATTATATAGCTCAATAGAGTATCCTGATCAAATGTACGGTTTTATTGACTAACAAAGAGTCAGTGGGATGGGATAAAAAAATTGGCATTTAGAACCACATATCGATTTTTCTTTTTGTTATATTAATGATCTATAGAAAGAATATATTTTATTAAAAATAAGAAGTTTTATCTGGAAACATTTAATATTTGACAATAGCTTTCGGTCAAATGTTTGCAAAGGAAGGAATAAATAATGAAAATGTTCTCTTTTAAGAAGTTGACAAAGTCACTATGTTTAGTGGTTACAATTTGTAATATACATTTTGTAATGTAAGTTTCTTCATTTCCCGCTCTTAGTGGAAGTCGGGAATAAAAAAAAATCAACTTTTCTTAACGGAAAAATTCTTGAAAAGTGATCACTATCTTTTATATATTTTCTAGTTAATATGATAATTTTTTTTTTATACTTATTCCTTCATTATTACATACTTCACTTTCTTTAATTATTCAATTGAGTAATTTTAATAGCAGAGTTCTTTTATGGTTTTTATTATTCACTAAATTTTTCTGTTATATCAAAAGAAAATTTAAATAAATACTATTAATCGATAATAATACAAATTATTTTAATAACATATCTTTTAAATCTGAGTCTTTGAACTATTTGCTATTTTTCCAAATGGAGTATGCTTCTATATTATATCTGTGTGCATTTATCCAATTATCATTTGTAAACTCAGATTAAAAATAACTATGAGCATATGTTGAGATCTTTATTCTAGAATCTTAAAGTTATTTTAAATTTATTTACTAATAATATAATTAATTAGTTAGATCTTCTATATATACATATACAAATTAGAATAATATTTTAATTTTATTAATTATCATGTATCTCTTTCCATTGTTGATTTATATAAAAAAAATATTATTTTTCTGTCTTTTGGATCAAGGTGAACTTTAAATAATTTTAAATATTATTTATTTTTGGATATATAGATTTATTGAAATAAGAAATTTTCATGAATATTAATATTATTAAAGATTCATAAGCTAGTAATAGTAAAAAAATAGCATCTTTATTTATTTATAAAAAAAGTTAAAAAAGAAATTTCATGATAAAATATTGATAATACATCACTAAAGACATATAATTAAAAAAAAAATCCTATATAGTAATACTTTTCATTATTTACAAATAATATTTTTCAAGAATAATAATTATTATATAATATTTTTACTTCTATTTTTGCTGATGTTAAAATGAGAAAGATCCGATGTAAAAATATACTAATATATATATAAAAATAATGGGTTAATTTAGTCATAAACTTGAAAGTAAATGAAAATTTGAATATACATACTTTAATATCCATGATCTCCGTGTCCGTGTCCGTGTCCGTGTCCATGACCGTATCCGTGACCGTGTCCGTGATCGTGTCCGTGACCGTGACCGTGACCGTGTCCGTGTCCGTGACCGTGATCGTAACCGTGATCGTAATCGCCATAACCCCAATCGCCATAACCGTAACCGTGATCGTAATCGCCATAACCCCAATCGCCATAACCGTAACCGTGATGACCATCGTGATGATCGCCGTGATGATCGCCGTGATGATCATCGTGATGACCATCGTGATGATCGCCGTGATGATCATCGTGATGACCATCGTGATGACCATCGTTATGATCGCCGTGATGATCATCGTCGTGATGATCGCCATGATGACCATCGTGATGATCGCCGTGATGATCATCGTGATGACCATGGTGATGATCGCCACCTGGGACTGGGTTTGAAGAGACGAATGTAACGAGCAATAAGGTAATGAAGAATAAAATAACTGAAACTTTCATAACTTTCATTTTGAGATTTTTAAGATTTTTTTTTGATTTAAAGAATTAAAGAATTAGAATTGTTGTTGAGACTGAGGAATGAAAAGACGGGTGAACTTTGAGGGTTTATATAACAAATTTTCCACACTAATTACATTAATCTTTCTTAAAAAATTTTCGTTAAATTTGCAACTGCATGCTTGTTAACGTAATAACAATTTTCATGTTAATTACATTAATAATTTTTCTTAAAATTTTTCGTTAAATTTGTTAAATTGGCAATTGCATGCTTCGTTAACATTGAATAGGAAATTGAATAAATGGAAAATAACATATGGGAAAAGTTATTTTGGGAGTTAAAAAAAATATAGAATGGGTGAGAAGGTGAGAAAATGTTTATATGTCAAGGATTAAAGAAAATAATCAGCTTTTAATTATTACTTGCTTCTTTAACATAACAATTTTCACGTTAATTACATTAATAATTTTTCTTAAAAATTTTCGTTAAATTTGAATAGGAAATTGAATAAATGGAAAACGACATATGGAAAAATTATTTTGGGAGTTAAAAAATATAGAATGGCCGAGAAAGTGAGAAAATGTTTATATTCCAAGGAATAAAGAAAATAACCAACTTTTAATTATTACTTATAACAATAATAATTTTTCTTTAAATTTTTCGTTAAATTTGTTAAATTGGCAATTGCATGCTTCGTTAATATTGAATAGGAAATTGAATAAATGAAAATAACATATGGAAAAAGTTATTTTGGGAGTTAAAAAAAATATAGAATGGGTAAGAAATTGAGAAAATGTTTATATGTCAAGGAATAAAGAAAATAATCAACTTTTAATTATTACTTGATTCGTTAACAATTTTCACGTTAACTATATTAATAATTATTAATAATTTCTTAAAAATTTTCGTTAAATTTGAATAGGAAATTGAATAAATGAAAAATAACATATGGAAAGTTATTTTGGGATTTAAAAAATGTGAGAAAGTGAGAAAATGAATATATGTCAAGGAATAAAAAAAAAAGAAAACTTAATATCAATAAATAACCAACTTTTAATTGTTGCATGCTTCATTAACATTAAATAGGAAAATAACATATGGAAAAAGTTATTTTAGATGAGAAAATGAGGAATAAAAAAAAACTTAATATCAAAAAATAAAAAAACTTAATATCAAAAATAAAAAAAAACAATATCAAAAAATAAATTTACAAAAATAAATTCTAAACGTTTAATGAATACAAGAATAGAAATTTCGTGTTTAGTAAGTCATGGAGATCATTTAAATCTTACTAGAATGGAAATTTTATTCTCATCTCACGTTTAGCAATCATTTTAGAATGGAAATTTTATTCTCTTTTCGTGTTTAGTAGGTCATGGAGATCATTTTTAGATAATCATAATTTTTTAATTAAACATATTCCTGCAATAAATACTCCTTTCGATTTGAAGTATTGCTAAAGCTCACCTTTATCACTAGGAAAAATTTCATAAGTCCCTAACCAACCCTAACCTTTACTTTGCCCACGTAAATTTAATTTCTCCCAGTGGTGACAATCACTGGCGGTGAACTTTTGAATTCTCTTAAGTCAAAGTTTCGCGCGTATACACTTTAACTTGAATAATTTATCGATTTTGTATTTAAGTTATAAACTATTTTTTAAATTTGTATTTGTCTTTAATCATATGATAATGTTTCGATAAGTTACGTATTCATTATTTTTCGAACATTATACCTTTAAATATCTCTTCTAATTAAACTTTGTAACTCAAATATTTTATTAGTCGCCAATACATTCTTTTACTCTTTTTTTTTTTTACCAACGGAGCCTTTCTCCATTATCAATTTGTCACAATATTTAATAATAATAATGATAATAATATAATTAATAAAAATAGCAATAAAAACTTTATTTTTGATAAAATTAAAAATACACTTACAATTTGTAGTTTGTAATGAATGTCGGGATTTGAGAGAAGCACGTACATTAAGCATAAATATTGTACATAATGTGAACACAAAATATGTGCTCAGGGAGAACGAATTAAAAATAATTATATTGCATTCTTGTCATATAGATTCTTCCCTCCGTTTCTTCAGTTCAAAAAATAAAAATCTCTCTCCTTCAACATACTCAACATCCTCTTTTTTTTTTAAAAAAAAAAAAAATTAAATTCTATCATCCCAAATACAAAACTGAAATTTTCAATTGTTTTATTCGTGCCTTTCCACCTACTCACTGGTTCCATCACTGTTATTTCTCCCATATATGGTCCATTTAAGTTCGGTTCAATCCAAGTTGTCTGTTGGATTCCTAACGTTGAAGGAGTTCTAGATCTTTATGGCCCTCACACAGAGCTACCGTCAAATTTGTTGCTGAAAGTGGAAAAGTTGCTTTGAAATTACCAGGAAAGGTAATTTCGAATATATTAATTATATTTATTATTTTATTTACTTTATTTACTTATTATTAATATTATTGTTTATTATTTATTATTATAAATTATAGTACCGTTCAGAGTTGATCACCAAATACTACAGAATTCCAAGGAAATATCTGCTACGTTGGAAGATCTAATTTTTACAGTTATTTGATTTATAATCGTTCTCTTACACGATACTAAAATGTTTGATAATATTGTAATTCGTTTAAAATTAAAACTTTTGTAGAATGTATATATATATATATTTCTCATTTTTATATAAACTATGATATTTTATTTTTTTTTTACACTGAAAATAGTAAAAATATTCGTTTTATCGTTTTTATGTTAAAAATAAATTAAATCTTTATTATATTAAAAGTAATAATAAATAAGAAATACATTGCGGATAGTAATATAGAACTAATTATTAATTAATTAGATTATTAATTTATCTTTCAAATATTTTCACTCATGTGATGTAAAGACATAATACTGAAATAAACTTTAAGATATTTTTAATATTATACGATTACATCTGATATTTTAAATAATAAAAATAACAAGTTTAACCCATTGCTATTATAATAGCAAAAAATTTGTGAGAAAAACACTTAATTTTCAATGTATTTTTTTTTTGTTCCACCTCACGCGAGGGCCAATATTAAAATTTCACTCGTGTTCTACGTTTTTAAAGAAACAAACACGAAGATAATAACCAAGCAATTTACAATTTTAAATATTTATATATTTAATATTACTGTATTTTCATCCATTTCATTTGAAAATATAAAATAAAATAAAGAAGATAATATTTAGAATTTAACTGTAAATATTACTACTTTGGGAAGGTAAAAGGCTGGTCATATTATAAAAAATAATATCAGGCGTAGATGATATAAATGAATGTATGTTCTCTACATTTTAAATTTATATAATATAAACTTAATTTAAATTTATTATTTTTATACAGCACAAATATAATTTAATTGAGATTGTTTAGCTCAGCAACCAAAAAAATATTCCCAATATTGATAAATATCGAGACAGGCGATTAATGGAACGTTTTCCATGCAAGGGTGTATTAAAATAGAGTCTGTATTATCTGAAATACAAAAGTATTTATTCCAGTTGAAATTAAAGAATTTTTATAGTTTTTTTTTTTTTTTTTTTTATAAAAAATGACTAGAAGAAAAATCTATATTCCTAAAAGCAATCGTTGTTTTCTGGCTAAATTATATGAAGTTAGTCTTGACGTCACATGTAAATAGTAAATAATTTAAAATTCAATTTATTCTTTGATTTTACTGAATTCTTATAAACAATTCTTATTTAATAAATATAGATAATACAATTAAATTAAATAATATGCAGAACAGCTTTTCTTTATATAGAAAACAATAGCAACGTTTTAACAAATGAAAAAATCACCTTTTGTTCAGATTATAGGCATTTTGCATCATCTGCATGAATAATCATTGAAGGTAATTTCTTTATTTTGGACAATTGCAGTATAGGAAATTTATAAACTATGGCTTCAGGTTTATTTATGGAACGAATGGTTCTGTTCAGAATGTGGTTCCAAGCAGGGAATTGTAGAAATAGTAGCAAAATTTCAATTCTTAAAACCAATATGCTTGTAGAGCGCACCGGAAAGTCCTTAAATACCATTTTTTATTTAAAGTTTTTTTCATCCGCGCTTAGATTATAATTATGGAGAAAGTAATTCCACATTAGCAAAGAAAATTTGAACAAATATTTTAGTGTAAAGAGAAAAAGCAGATTGGAGGAAAAAGAATGGAAAGAGATTTCAACACAAACAATTAATAATACTTATTCAATTGATATTTGAAAATGGAATTGTTGGATGACAGCATTTTTGACAAGCAGATTTTTGAGCAAGTACATCGTCATACACAATATCTATTTATTTATCTAATTTAATAATAAATTTTCCAAATATTACAAATATTACAAATATTACAAATATTAAAAATGTTGAAAATTACAATTTATTATATGATTCAAGAACCTTGTGAATCATCTTATAATGTTACAGAAAACATATTTGAAATTCTTAAAGGTAATATTTAGTATTATTTATCAATTTATAATTAATTAATTATTATTTTAATAGATCAACAACTCAAGATGGGTAAAAGAATTTGAAAAAATTTTTCATCCTTATTAAAAATGTCACAATGCCACGGATTTTAAAGATCATTCACTTAATGCTTTGTTTTTTAATTAGCGATTTTTTTATTGAAATAAATTTTATAATTTACTCATATGACAATTTTCGCGAAACTAGCTTTTAATGACACACAACACATATACGCGAATTTTTTGATAGTTTTAGTTTCACGTGAAGATGGTAAAATATGTCACAATCACCAAAAATTTTGTAAATGAGAAAACCAAACGTATTGTATATTGCTAGCTAACTTCGCGAAAATTAAATTTCTACTGTAACTGAAATAAATATAAATAGTTGCAAGTAATTATTTTTAAATATTGAAAATAAATTTTATTTTACTGAATTAATAAAAAAATAAATAATCAATTAGGATCTTGAGTAAGGTCGTTTGATGAAATTTGGTTTGTAAAAATTAACGATGGCATTCGCTGATTGAAATTCTTTAGTCGTATTTTTCTAAATTTCGAATATTCAGGTAAGATGAAAATTCTAAAATAAAAGTTACTTCCACATTTTATTTTCACACTATGCAAACGAACGGGTACTTTTTAACTTTTTATCGAAAATTAAAAAATAGTCACAAGACCCTATCTTTTTATTAAAATATTATTACATTACATTATTATGTTACTATTAATACAAATTTCTAAAAATACATTATAGAAGATTATAGATGGTAAAGTGAATCATATTATTATTATTCTCGAATATTATTATTATTCGCAAACAGTGAAGATAGGAGATGTTCCTATGTAATAGAGTTCTCCTTGTTTAAATTCAACTACAGCAATGTAATCAGTTTCTGTATCGAAACGATCGTCAACGGTGAATTGAGCATAACCGTAAGTATAACGAATCTAATAAAAATTAAAATTTTTTTTATTAATATCTTGCAATTAGATGATTTAAACAAGCAATATTATGTATAATTGAAAGATATTTACTTCTTCAGTGCAGATAGGTTCTTCTTCACATGTATAACAACCGTATTCATCTTTTTCACTTGCGACACAAACACTCACTTGACATGTAGTATGTGCATCTAATTAATCGAAAATATATAAAACGAATTTAATAATTTTTAATAAATTTACAATTATTATTTGGATCGAAAGAAAAATGAATTCAGTATACATACTATAAGGGTCTTCGACATCTTTTAGGTTGGCATTCCAGGTAATAGCTTGAACTGATGTATATTTAAATGGTCCTTCACCAGGAGAAGTCAAAACAATTTTTCCATTTGGCTCGTGGGAAGAGAACACACAGGTTGAGAAAATTAAGACGATCAAGTATACAAGAGCGTATGAGTATTTCATTATTATAATTTTTCTTGAGAATAGGTCGAAAAAATTAAATTATTGAATTTATAAATTTATAAAATTTTAAACTTATTAGATTCAGAACGTTGAAGGCGTTAAAGAGAACAAGAGAACAACTGAGGGTTTATATAGATAACGGAAACTCCAATTCACGAATTCTAAGAGTATAAAATTACATCAAAAAAAAGTTCTTCTCATTTTGCCAAAAATGTTCACGCCATACTGTGTACACCTTTAAATTTCACTCAGTACCGTATGCATTTACAACTAACTATATGAATATATGAACGTTCGATTACCCCTAAATTATTTTGTTCTTTTTTAGATTTTTGCATTATCGATAAACGCTATATTTGGACAAAAATGTTTTGCTTAGAATAACAAAATTTAAACAATACCTAAAAAGATCGAAAATCAAGTTTTCTCAATAAAACAATGTGTTACTCAAAATTCTTTGTTCTATAAAATAAGTATTACACAATATGATTTTTGGCGAACTTGGCGAACTTTGTCAATGATCAATGACAACTATCATTGGGCGCGTTTTTTTACATATAGACTTTAAAATCTCGATCAATAATTCATTTAAATCGAACTATTATTGGGAATTTAATTAATACAATCACTGTCCAAACCCCTGATTAGTATAATTTATCCAAATTCATTCCCAAATGCAAGCATTTATTTATATTAATCTATCAACAATAATATGAAAATGAAAAATTTTAAACGCCAAACATTCTCAATGATAAATATATTGTCGAGAAGCATTTTTTATTTAATATTATTATTCAAAAAAGTGGCTTCATAGTTAAAATTGAAAGTAATTGCTTTTTTTTTTTAAAAAAAAAACGAAGATTCATTTTGTTGGGTTTTAGTACATAATAGTTCATAATAAATAATAATAATAATAATAAAATAATAATGATAACTACTTGTCAATGACAACTATCATTGGGCGCATTTTTTTTACATATAAACTTTAAAATCTCGATCAATAATTCATTTAAATCGAACTGATATTGGGAATTTAATTATACAATCCGGAATGAATCCTGTCCAAACCCCTGATTAGTATAATTTATCCGAATTCACTCAACAATAATATGAAAAATGAAAAATTTTAAACGCCAAACATTCTCAATGATAAATATATTTTGAGAAGCTATTTTTATTTAATATTATTATTCAAAAAAGGTGACTTCATAGTTAAAATTGAAAGTAATTGCTTTTTTTAAAAAAAAACGAAGATTCATTTTGTTGGGTTTTAGTACATAATAGTTCATAATAAATGATAATAATAATAATAATAAAATAATAATAATAATAACAATAACAATAATAATAATAATCATCATCATCATCAAAAACTCAATCATAAATGCCTGCCAAAAGCGTAAAAGAAATAATAATTCAGAATTCTTTTGAGCGCAAGTAAATTTCCTTGAACATTTGAATAATTTTAATTTATCAGCAATTTATTTTTGGCAGGAAAGTATATGATATTTCCCTAGCTATTTTATTTCATTTATTTTCGTCATTTGCAATTTTTGTGTTGGATTCATGAATTATATCATGAGATAAAGGTCCTTCCCCACCAGTATACGATTTTGATTTTTTACTTGATGAATCTTTGTTACCACTATATCTATTATTACGTAACTTCCGTAAAAATACATGAGCTGCTCTTTCTCTGATCTCAGAAGTGGATCCGGACTCTGTACGAGAAGGTGGTGGTTGTGATGATAAAGGAGAAATTATACTTAAAGATTGTAGTAATTTTCTGAATCGGCTTTCTTTACTTTCATTACTTTCATTTATATTTTTCCTCCTCCACTTTTGATTTCTTTTGCCTTTTTCTTTTTCTATACCTTTTCCTTCCTTGATGGATTGATCATCATCGGTAACAACAGGATCGATTTCAAGTGCGGTAGACATTGTTATTAAATAATAAAACCTGTAAAATATACAAATTTATAAACTTAAAAAATTTAAAATTGGCGCATGATTTAATATCAAGACAAAATTATATCATAATTATTGTTTTTATTTTGACGAGTAAATGAAGTATTTATTTTAGTCATAATGACGTATCTGAGATTAGAAATATTACAATTATTTTCATCACCAAAATATATAAAAAGAAGAGTAGGGGAAAAATTTTTGGAATACTCCAAATTTTTTTTTATCCAAAAATGACCGACAAAGATTATAGTGAAGGTCTAAAAGATGATTTTGAGGAAAAGGTCCTTGATATTAAAGATGAAGGAATCGAAGATGAAGATACAACAAGAGGAGGCGTAGAAGAGGACGGTCAAGAAATAGAAGAAGGTATCGTGAAAGATAGTGTTTATGAACAAGTTATTGAGCGCGGAAACGAAGAATACGATCCATCAAAGGATCCCGATGGTAATAAAATTTAAAATTAGGGCATTTTCTTAAGTAATAAGAAGATCATTATAGATTATCTTTCATTTATTATTTAGCTACCGTGAAGGATAGGCCTTCTCGAAGTTCGCCGCCTAGTTTACGACCATCGACCATGGAAAAAAGAGAAGCCGAAGGACTTTATGCTGAAGATGAATCTGGATTTGAACCAAGTGCGCAAACAGAAGAAGGTGATCTTCCGGATACAGATGAAACAGATACTTCAAGAAGATTGTATGAATTTATTTATCATTTATATGAACATTTATAAAATTTATATGAAAGTTAAATTTTTGAATTCTTGATGTGTGTATATATACATTGTAGAACTTCATTCGTTTCCGCATCTCATCGATCCAATAGAACTCCGGAAGCAAAAAGACAAAGTGCAGAAAAAGCTTCTGCTTTACATGAACAGATTACTGGTTCACCATTGGAGATAAATCAAGGTACAGTTGTTTATTTTACTTTTCCCAGTTTGTTTATTTTTACTTTTCATTAATTACTTAACCTTTTTTCCCTTCTTTCCTTTATTTAACGTAGAGGGAGAAGTTGTTACTGGTCCAAGAATTAGTGCTGGTTAAATATTGATTTCGTTTTAAGGTCTCTAGGGTATTTTACTACTAGTTAAAATGAAAAAAAAAAAAATGCATCTTCCAATACTAAAAATATTCCTAATGGTAAACACATATAATATGTATAAGTATATATATCATTTTAATAAAATACCCAATTTTACTTAAGTTTTGATGATTTCTTATTTACGTCTTTAAATTTGAACATCATCATTATGTCTTAAAGATTTAATCCCTGTAATTTATTTTTATTTTATTGCAATGTACCCCTGCAATCTATATATAAATAAAGTTGCATCTGATATGCGAAAAAATTGCTTCACCAATGAAACTAACACCAGAACTTATTGAACGTTCACCAAGTTATATCAATGCTGTGAAAGATCGCGAACTAGATTTGCGGGGTATCCTTTAGAAGAAGTTGGGTTAGTTGGTTATTTGATTGTTTCTGTTTTATTTTCCGTAAATTTCACAATGTATTGTGTGATTATGGACAAAGAGAGTGTAGTGTTGTGGAAAGAATAGAAAGTTGGTCATCTTCGCATCGTGATTAAATTTACGTTGGAGAGTGAGAACTTTGGTATTAGAAATTTATCAATCTGATAATTAAATGTAATATATATTTTATATAATATATATTATATTCATTTTAATACAATTCTCGATTACGAACGGGCAATGATCAGAATGACATTGACTATCAGAATTCGAATGAATTGTTAGATTGTTAAATTTCGAATGATTTTGTGAACTTATGAATTTTGTGAAATTGTTTCATTATGTTTATCCCTATTGTTCCATGACTCGTAATTTTATTTCCTTTTTTTTTTCTCCAATTTTTTTTGTTTATTTTTTTTCACGCTTTTATTATAGGTAATAAAATTCCTGCTATAGAAAATCTTGGAGTAACAAAGGTGAATAAAAATTATTATTAACATTTTTCTGTTTGCATTTTGTTTTTTTTTAATTTTTTTTTAATTTAATTTATTTATTATTTTGCTTCTAAAAATTTCAAAAATTTCGTAAATTTAGGATCAAAATGATACTCTTGATTTGACAGATAATGATATTAGAGTATTAGGAAATTTTCCATTATTAAAACGCGTTAAAACTTTATTACTTGCCAATAATCGTATTACCCGTGTCGATAATCAAATATCTGAATTCCTGCCAAATTTAAATACTTTGGTTTTTACCAATAACAACATAGCTGAAATAGCGGATTTGGAACCGTTGGCTGGACTTAAAGAGTTACGATATTTGAGTTTGTTAGATAATCCAGTGACAAGAAAACAATGGTATAGAAATTGGGTTATTTGGAAAATACCTAAAGTGAGAGTATTGGATTTTAAAAGAGTACGAGAAGTGGTATGTATTATCAATAATTTACTGTTGATTTTAAAATATTCTTAATATTTATACAATACTTAATCCTATTTAATTATAGGAACGTAAAGAATCCAAACAATTGTTTGAAACAGCAAAAGGCGAACATACTTCACTTGCCAAATCAATCTCTGAAACAGTTTCTAAGACATTTGAACCTGGTGAAGGATTAGTATCTGGTGCTAATGTGCCAAAATCAAATTTACAACCTCATGGAATATCTGCGGATGAACAAGCTAAAATTAGGGTCAGTATTCAATTTTCAATTTTCAAATTTTAAAAAAATATTTAAATTATTTAACTTTTATTAATATAATATTATAGGAAGCAATTCTAAATGCAAAAACCCTTGAAGAAGTTACTCGATTAGAAAAATTATTACAATCTGGTCATATTCCTAGTTCAGGAAAACATGTCAATTTACAAAGTGACGACGAGATGGATTAAAAAGATTAGAATACAATTTCATTCAAATTATATAAAATTATATATAAGATATTTTATTTCTTTCTGTCCAGATTTTTCTTAAAAATTAAAAGTATTATATATAAATAATATATATAAATGTAAAAAGAATTATTGTAACAATCAAAAATAAAAATTTTGTTATGTCTTGATTCAACATTATATTTATTACATTTGAAATATTAATAAATATGTGGTACGTGTCTTACATTTAATCTTTAATAAAGTGCAAAAAAAAAAAATAAAAGGAAAATATTATATATTAAAAAAAGAACGTTCAACAAACAATGTTGAAATTATTCTTGATAAAATTTCTAATCCAATTCACATCTAACAACTCCTCTTGCATTAGGAGATCCTAATAACATAACTTTTCTCTCAGAATCTACGGCCGCCACTGAGAGTGAATGATAAAAGCTACCATCATCTTCAATTACTGTTTCTTTCTTATATTTAACTCCATAATATCTATCTTCCGCTGTATTGTTACTAACTTTAATCACGCGAAATCCGGGTCTCCTCAATGGATCAATTTCGTCTTTCAAATTATATAAAGCATTTTCAAAACCATTTACTCCCACTGAGATAATTATAAAAAAAGATTTCATTATTTATATACAAAAAAAAAAGAATTAAAGATTAATCCATCTTTAATTAAAAAGAAAAAAATACATACCGCCAAGATAAAGGTCTCCGGTGATTGGATCCAAATTAACATTGTCAACAAAATTACCAGCACTAACTCTATCCAACAATTCCAATTTATTATTTGGCTTTCTCTCATAAATCAAAAGTTCTCCTGTATTAATTGTTCCTACGTATACCTTTGAGTAATCCCAATTTGTAATAATTCCGTTTGGATACGCTAATCTATCGATAACAATTTCAGTGGTATTGGTTTTATCCGAATGAAATACTACAAAGCCCCATGGTAAACCAGCAAAGCCTAATTTAAAAGAATTTTTTTTTTAATGATCAAATTGTAAGCAAGCAAAGAATTCTTATTAAAAAAAAAAAAAGAGATAGAGAAAAAATTAAAGAGAAGACATTAATTAAATCACCTTCAACATATTTCCACAACCAATGAGTATTATAATAATCATTTGTAACATAGAATTCGTCCTTTGAAACAGGAGCAACATCGTTAGGGTTATAAATTAATTCATGTTTAAAGGTTTTCACATAATTCAACTCAAAAGTATTTAAAGTGTGTTTGAATAATTCAATCACACTACCACTTTTCTTGTGATTTATGAGAAACAAATAAAGTTCATTAGGTTCAGCGGGATCTTCGTAGATGCCTATTCCATGTAATAACAACCCTTCGTCAAAGTTTTTAAGGGTTAACGGAGTTAACGTATCGGTCTAATAAAAAATAAAAATTTTATATTTTTTTAAAAAAATTATATTTTTCTTAAAATTATATTATTAAATATAAAAATTAAATATCACCTTTATGTTATAAACGTATGGAGTATCGTGAGGAAGATAACTATAATTTTTATATACATTGGCTGGAGGATACCATTGAGTTTTACGCTCGTATTCATTACCACAAGCCATAAAAGCTAATCCAGTTTTTTGATGAATTACGATATCTTCACATGCTTCTGGGCCTTTTTATTATCAACACAAAAATAACAAACCAAATCGTCTGTTCAATATCTAATTTTAAATATATCGAACACGAATCCTCTATTGATAATAATAACCTTCAATAATGCGACACTTATCCCCAGTATATTTCGTTACAGGTTCATTAAAAATTCCAGAAATCATTAACCGACTTAAAATGAGGTTATAGCTAAAAGCTATAAAGACAACAAGAACAGTCAAAAAAATTATCCAGCCTGGCATTTTGTCACTTTCAAAATCAAAGAAAAAAAAAAAAGATGAGGATTTTTTTTAAATATTATTATGTCATCTACAATTATATATTAGTAAATAATTGACATAATTGGCAAGGTAATTAGATATTCAATGAATATCCCGATCTGACTTATCGACTTATCGCAAGTATTTTTATGTATAGAAATCATATGAAAATTGTAAAAAAACGTTTAAAAATAAAATAAAAAGGTATTATAAAAATTTTTATTTGGTTTTATATTAATGCTAAGTATTATATTTCTAAGTGTTAAATTTCTAATTATTAATTATAATTAATTAATTTAATTATTGATATGTTGAGGTGTTTGAACGTAGATTTTGGGAGACAAAGAAAACCATTCTCCCGAGGGGAAGCCCTTTTTTTAGAATTTGTCACGAACGTATCTGTTTTAAAAATAATAATATACAATATTTTTAATAAACATATTTTTTGTTTAAGCATCAAAAAAAGATGCAAATAATGGAAGTATAAGATATTGAAAATGATAAATGAATAAAATAACTTACTTCTTGTCAAATTTCTGATTAACGGCCATTAACTTCACTTGAGTACCTTCTTGAATATTGTTCCATGGAGTTGGGTTATTTTTTCTATTATTTTATTGATTACATTTTATTACGAAAAAAGTTTTATAAATAAAAGCGAGTAATGATTAAAGCCTGGATAAAAATTTTCCAATTTTTCCCCGAATACTTACTGGTCCCAAACCACTTCGGGTCCCCTAGCGAGACGAGTGAGATACCAAGCTCCACCGGTAACTGCTACAACCTATAAAAAAAGAGTCACTTTAAATTGTCTTACCACTTTAGGTAACTTTAAATAACTTGTCACTTTTTATATGAAAACTAAAAAAAAAAAAAAAAATCGTACGGTTACTGCATAGATAGGAATAATTTCATATCTAAACCAATTCCTCATGAAAGTTGAACTAGCTGCGCCGGCCATTTTTGATAATAAAAAATGTGTGGATGGAAAGATTGATCGAAATAAGAGAAAGGATGAAAGGTTAAGAAATTCGATGAGAATGCGCAAAAAGATTTATGAAAGATTAATAAGTATTAAATAAATTTTTTTTTTTTTTGATTTGAAATAAAGGAAAAGAACGAAGTTTTTTACAATTCCGGATGTTTCCGCCGTGAATGCGGGTAAATATTTATGTATGCAGCAATTCAAATAAACTACATATATGGAATAATTTGACATATAAAATTTAAAAAGTAATGATTGAACGTGAAGGCGCGAGTAAGGCTTATATCTTAATGAGGTTAGTAATTTTTTTTTTTCGGAAGAATTCGGGAGTCTTTCGTACTTGTCCAGGGTATAAAAATCTGCATTACACAAAATTACAGGGATCAATTTTAGCAAATTGCAATTTGTTCTATTATATTAACAACAAATTAATTGCATCAAATTTCATATGACTCAAATCAAAACAAAATATTTATTATTTACATAACGCTAGTTTAATATGCCTCACTCATCCATCAAAGAAGTAAATCTTGGAAGTAATTTTGTCACTATCCAAGTGCAGAAAAATTTCAATTTCAGTCAGTTGTCTAATTTGATTCAATAGTTTTGATAACACATAGTTGCATTAATTCAATCTAAACAAGAAAGCAAAAGGACAGAATTTTTTTTTGGTTTGTAAGTCATTTCTTTATTTAAACAATTTGGAATTTTGTTAATTGTTAATTACTAATAATTTTTGATTTATATGCTGTTAGCTCTATTTATTATTAGCTTATATCTATTATTATAGTTTATATATTTATTATTTATAGTTTTAATAATATTATTATATATTTATTTCTTATTATTACTTATTATAATATTTGTACAAATTATTTAGAAATTGGAGCTACAGAAATGTATTACAACTGTAGATCTATAATATAATTAATAGTGTAATTAGAGTATAGTATAATAATCTATTATAATTTCAAATTTGTATGTATATAAAGGACTGAATTTCTTTTGTCTCAGTCTTCAGCTCAGTCTTTGAGCTCATTTTTTAAGTGATTTACAAATAATAAATTGTTTTTTGATAAATTAATTCTTAGTAATAATCTTAGTAATACCTTTAGTGAAAATACGCTTTCTTAGTAAACAGTTTCTTAGTGAAACCTTTTGTTAATTTTTAGTGAATTACTTTTGCCTTAATGATTTTATCTTAGTGACTCTTATCTCTATAAAAATCTCACACTTTTTCCTCTTTCAAATAAAATCAACAATTGTTCTTATACTTTATTATATAAACTTGTAGTTTCATTATAATAAGTACATTGTTGTGTAATCTTTATGTTTGTTATTATAGCACCATTGTTGAATTCTTACAAAAGTAAATACTAGTTAACAATGTTTGACAAAAGTGATATGTTTTATTATCAGACTATATATAACATATTCAAATTTTTTTATTATAGTAGCTTCTTACAAGGTTAAACAATTTACCTAATCTTTCTTCAAAAATAAATTTCAAAAAACACAGAAACATGTTGCATACTATATATGTCCTGAATTGTCTATTATTCAAGAAAAAATTTTCAAAATTATTTTTAAAAGACAAAATTATTTTTAATAGAACTCAAAAATTTTTAAAAGCAGATTTTGATTTCACTAATTAAAGGTACATTCTATAATATGGGCATTGATACCTGATTACTCTGATATTATTATAAATGTCCAAATTAATTTGAGCAACATAATAAAATATTTTGAAAATTTAGGTAAAGTTCACCAGTGGTGATTGTCACCACCGGGCAGAATTACATAATACCCTGATCAAACCCTAACCCTAACTTTGCCCGCGTAAATTTAATTCTGCCCAGTGGTAACATGTATATTGAATAAAAAAAAATAAATTTCCGCTTTCTCAAAAATCTTAAATTACTTAGTAATTCAGTTAGTAGCAAAAAGCGGAAAATAATTATGAAAAAGTAGTAAATAAAACTTTTTTCATTTTATAATTCATTATAAATGGAAAATACTTATTTTTTTGTTTTCTAGATTTTTTTTTTTACTTTTTTTTTTTTGTGATTGCAGAAAGATCAATTTTGCCTCAAAATTATCTTTGTTGTCACCACTGGGCAAAATTAAATTTACATGAAATAAAATTGTTTTTATATTAAATATGATAGTTGTTTTACATATATAGAAATAATATTGAAAAAAAATCTCAAAAAGACAAAATATACCTATTTTAGAGACATATATAAAAGTTGCAACATTAGAATTAGTTTCTTACAACTTCATTTATATATCACAATATTTACGGATCAGGTGTATAATATATGGTATTATAAGATTTGAATTCTTTTTTCCCATATTCACATCTCATTGTAGTAATGGTAAATGACTAAGTTATTTTCACATTTTGAAATAACCTTTGAATAAATTGAAAAGTCATTTAAAATAATCAAATAAAAGTTACACAATTAAGAAAATTACTTTGAATACTAACGTGAGAATTTTATTATAAACATGTATTATTTTAATTTATTTATATATTGGTTAGATTAAATGAAATGAACTTGTCATTTGAAATTTAAATTAAACAATAATATAATTATATTAGTATTGTTAAAGGATTATAAAATGGATCGTTAAGTAAGTTGCAAACATTTTTCTCAATAGCAGACCCAATGTCCTTGTGACTATTAAAAGTAATGAAAATGGTTATAATGAAGTCCCTTATACGAGTTAGAATTTGAAATTTCCAATAACATATACAGGTTAATATATACAGATCAAATGAAAAAAACAAAACAATTTTTCAACACTTAGTATCTATTTTTGGTCATCTCTAATATAAGGTTAAAAGCTTTTATGTCCTATAAAAAAACAGTTATGTACATGCGTGTTTAAATGAACATGTAAGAACTAAAAAGGGGAAGGGAGTTTTGTCCCTTAATTTCTTTGGTGTCAATCGCGTCCGAGTTTTTTTTTTTTTTTGTGTAGTATTACACTACACAATTTTTTTCAATTTTAAAAATATATTGTAATTTATTTATTTGTAATATGCTAGTTAGTAGTAATCTGAATTTATTTTTATTCTTATATGTTGATGATTTTCTCCACAAAAAAAAATAAATTTAGGAATCTTAATCTTAAAAAAAATATATATATATAATTATATGTAAAGACTTGAATAAAGTTAAAGATATGTGATTAATTTCACTTAATACTAGGCGTATTAAAAAGTTCTTAAGAAAAAAAAAAAAAAAGGTAGCTAATAAAACTGACAAAAAAAATAGTCATATCCAGATCACTCCAAGAAAAAAAGGAAATTATAATTAATATGTACAAAAGAGTATATATACTGTTATATATAAAAATTATATAAAATACAAAATATAAATTTTCAAAAATTACTTTTGCTATATATATATATATATATATATATATTAATTGTTCTTGATATTTTCATAAAAAATTGTTCTTTGTTTTTCAAACCTATTATTTTAATTATTATTATAATTATTGGTTGTTAAAATGTTGTTTAAAAGTGTAATGTTACGAATAGAATTTTCGGATTTAAAAGTTAATAATAAAATAATAATAACAATGATAATGAAATTAGATGAAATTATTATTTGTTGAAAGATTTCGTTGTTCAATGCCGTCGAACTCTACTTGTACTTGCAGCTCTTTGAATCCGTGGTTCAAGCTCCAAAGATTTATTATATGATTCCTAAATGATAGATAAATAAATAATTGATATATAAATTAAAAAAAATGTCACATGTATGATTATAGAAAATAAGAGATAACATATCTTTAAATTAAACATTAAAAAACTCACATCTTCGTTCATGACCTCCGTGTCATTTATGAACTTTCCAATTAAGTTGTTGCCTTTTATATTATAGTTTGATTTTTGATGTCTACAAATCATATTGATGACATCTCCCATTAAGGAAAATTTATTCCAATGAATTCTGCCATCCTTCTGAAAATTTCTATTCCCTTCCCCAATAGATAACAAATCTTGTAAATGAACACCACTGTAATATATATAAAAAGAATATAAATTAATTTTGATAATCATTAAAATTAATTAACTTTCTTTTAAATAAATAAATAAATACTTACAGATAAGGTATTGCTTTTTGTTCGGAATGACCATGCATTATATTTTTCAACGCAAAACGATAATTACCAAATGATTTGTTACTTGACATCAAATTCTCAAGATTGGAAAACTTTTTAAACGAAGATTTACATTTGAGCAATTCACGCGTTTGACGAAGACGCAGTATCGGTGCAGAATTTACTGCTGCAATTATAGCCATTAACGTGTTAAAATTGTTGGATTCTCGAGCAATCTAATTTTGTATCGAATAAAGAAAGTATATAAGATTTTCATGCTTTTATTTTTTTTTATTTTTTTTATTTTTAATTTTATTTTAATTTTATTTTAATTTTATTTTATTTTTGATAAATAATTAAAATAATAATAATAAACATAAAACTTACTATTGCAATTTTCATAAATTTCTTCATCATGGCCACACGAGCTTTCAATTTTTCTTGGGATAATATCATAGTGATTACCCTATATACGTGTATTAATATTCATTATTTAATATATATCTATTTTCTATTAAAAAATAAAAATAAAAATAAAATATATATATATTAAAGTTTTAAAACTTACCAATTAGAAATGAAATTAAAATGTCTAATAGACTTGGCAACTCTTCCTTTCACACGCAGGTCATTATTTTGTGGAGTCCAAATATGTCTCAAAAGATCTCTTCCCGTAATTGTTTTAAAAAGTTGAAATTCCTGATAGGTTAATTCATTAGATATGGATTTCTCAGGTAATTCATCAAATGTCATTTGATTCATTGGTCTTCCTTCTAAACCATTGGAAACTATAATAAATGAAGCTTTTCGATAATTTTGTAAAGAAGGACGAGTGGTGTGTTGTGGTTGTGGTGGTGGTAGTGGTGGTGGTGGAGTTGAAGTTGTAACATCCGTTACGTATCCCTCTTTATCACCAACAAATACCCAACTTCCAATTCCACTATCCTTTTTTGGATTTCTTGATGCTGAAATAATGTCAGTCACTTTTTGCTGATGTATATCAAATTCAGATTCATTCAATTCCTCATCATCCAAATCTTTATAACCCCATAATGCGTCAAGATCTTCGTTAGGCACTGTACCATTTATTAATGGAGTGAGAATATTTGCGTAATAAGCTAAATGAGAACTGTTCTTTATGATATCAAGAAACTGGAACATCAATTTTCGTGTTTGTGGATGAATGAGATCATGAGGATGTTGTGTTATCCAATGATACAGCAAATTACATATTCTATTAAAAAATAATGGAATTTAATTACATATTTAATATTAATATTAAACAATTTAAAAATTTTATTTAAAAACTTACTTTTCATGTGTTGTATTTCTTCGATCATCCATGTCTCTTTCGCATTCTCTAAACCTATTAAATTGAATCATGTGATCCACATATTAAAAATATATAACACATGATACATGATATAAGCCACCCAGTCAAAAAAAATGGTCGTGAAAACGTACCTATGCATCAACTTTATGAGAACATCTCGAGGTCTCATAAATATTCGATATATAGTAAAGAACGTTATCATAAAAGGATCGTCTTGATTTACAAAAAAAAGGAAGGGAAGTGATTAAGATGATGAACTTATCATAAAACAAAAATAGGAGTGTTTTTCCTTACCAAGTTTTCCATATTGACCTCCTTTCGTTAATCTCTGAATCAATTCGTCAACTGTCATACCATCATCTTTATTTCTATTAGGAAAAAAAATCATTATTTAAATTATTATTATAAATGGAACTTCAAAAAAAAAAAAAAAAATTTTTTTTTTTTATGTAAAAATGATAATTCGTACCCGGCACATTTGTTAAGTTCCCTTTCAGATGTTAATTCATTAACTTCGCCAAAACCATCCCAAGTTGAACTGGCAGAACTAATTGTGGAATCATAACTACTGAAAGAAATTCTGTTATAATCTCTGGTGGGTGCATTTTCTTCTTCAGTTTCCATGACTTGTAAAAGTGTTGATGATGGAAGAAATGATCGTCGATGAGAATTTCTTTCTGATGGTTTATGTAAACATGAAGAAGTTGAAGTTGAAGATAAAGAGGATTGAGATAGGATAGAATTTGTGGGAGGCGTTTGTGGTGGAGTAATTGCGAATGATGGAGCAGCATTTGATTCTATGGGACAAGGATGAGAACAAGCCGGTAAAGATTCTTCGTCCTTGTTAATTCTTTTACTCAATGGAGAATGAGCTATTTTTTGTAATATTTTATTATAATAAGTTTTAATATTCTTTTTTTTAAATGAAATCATATTTGAAAGAAGAAATATTTTTTAAAAGATTTTTTTTTTTTAATTTATAAATTTTCTAGAAATGTTTTGCATACATTTTTGTTTTGATTTTGATGTGCCAAATCTACTGGTGTAACGTGAACTCATAAATTTGACAGCTGATAGGTTTGAAAGTCTATTCCTTCCCCTGTTTTCGTGACTTTGGTCACTTGAGGATCTTCTGTGACTTAAAACATGCTTTTCGGAATCAGCGTCACTACTGATGCTTTGCATATATACCGAATCAGTTGAAGCGTTACTAATGTTACTTTTTAATTTTTGGATTTCATCTTTCCGTGTGAATTCTAAGAAAAAAGAAATCAATCAAAAAATTTATATATGATATCTCAGAAATAAAAAATTAAAGAATAAATTATTACGATCCAAATACCTCTTTGCCTTATTGATAACCTTAACAACATAGAAAATACATCATGTATCTTATGTATTCCTTGTTCTGTTCTCGTATCAAGTTCAACGAATCCAACATTAAACAAATCACCAAGTTTTGGACCATATTGTGTATCTACTTGATGTTTTGAAGGATCACAATCTGCCTTACAGGCAACCAATATTGAAGGAACATGAAAATCTCTGAATGCATCTATTTTGTTAAAAAAAAAAAAGGTATTGATTTGTAATTAGTTTTTAATTTGTTAAGTTAAATGTAAAATGCAAGTTAAATTATTATTATTATTACGGAACATAAGGAAAATAAGAAACATACTTAGTAACCATGCAATATTTGCTATTGATGCACGATTGGTCACATCATAACAAATCATGACACCGTCAATTCCCGGTAAATCCTAATAATAGATTATCAAATTGTTAGAAAATGAAATTTAACAAATGTGAAATGATGATAAAAAAAAAAATTTACCCTTGGCCATCGTAACTCAGATTTCATATCAAATACATTTTCCAAGATTTCCAAAACTTCTACAGGATATAATTTATCATCAACTTCAATTTCTGTAATTAATGTAGGGGCTAAATATAGAATCAACAAAATATTAAGATCTGAATTTCCTCACTCAATTTTTTTTTTTAATAATAATAATAATAATAATAATAATAATAATAATAGAGGAAATCAATACCAAATAATATATTTCGTTCAACTCCAACATTTGTTATTGGTGATAAATTTTTTAAACCAGTTCTTAATATTGTTGATTTTCCTACGGAAGGTTTTCCAATTAATGCAATTACAAAAGTATCATCATGCGAACGTGATGACCGTTCAAACTAATTGAATTAACGAATTAATTCTAAAATGTTTAATATGATGCAATTCGGGGATCATTCAACCAATCAGAATTCATGATCAAATGCAGTGAAAATTAAATACCTTTTCTTGATTGAACCAATAACTATTGCTAAATAAATTTGAATCCAGACTTCCATTTCTTTTCCTTACGTATGTAGGCGGTTTTAAATGCAGGGAGTCCATGGACACAGACTTTTTTAGGGTGCGCTTGCAATTCTCTTTTTCTTTTGTTTCTTTATTTTTAGGGGCATTTGATGATGATGCATTTCGAAATCGATTCCATATCTTTATAGTCATTTGTTTTTTTTTTTTTTTTATAATAAGTTAATCAATATATATATATAATATAATATATAAATATATATATATATATATATATTATTTTTTTTTTTTTGAAATGTTGAATAAATATTGGGAGAGTAATTGTCTTGAGAAGAAATTGATGGTATTTTTTCTGTTGAGAATAAATATACTTTATAAAATTTGAATGGGTAATAAGAAATCGAAAGTCGACAAATTTAGCGTTTTTAATCAATTTTTTGTAGAAAATAATTAAAATGGACAACAAATGATAAAAGAAATCACTACCCAAAAAAAGAAAACAGATAGATAAAAGAAAAATTCACCAACTTCTTCCAAAAATAATAATAATAATAATAATAATATACAAAGAAACGTGTCTTTCGAGAAATATTCGAGTATGGTACAGAGAAGATATTATATTATTACAAAAGTTTGAGGAGGGAAATTTTTTTAATTCAAACTTTATTTAGTCAATCGAGAACGGAAAGGAGACCAGGGAATCCAAAGTAAAATAAAATAAATAAAGAGATTTTTGGAAGAAGAAAATTGAGGTCAATAAAAATGATTTTTTAAAAAATAAAATAAAAATGATTAATGAAAAATTGATAATAAATAATAATAATATCAAATGGATTTTTTTAATTAATTAATAATTCTTGGATATTTTATATTTTATATTAAGAAATATACTCCGTGATTTAATTAGAATAAATATAGTATAAATGGGTGAAAAACTAATATGAGACTAAAGTAATTTATTTTTCATAAATCCCACTATCCCATTAACTTACTATTTTATAATTCGTTTAAATTAATAGGAAAAAAAAAAAGAAAAAGAAAAAAAAAAGGGAAGAAATCTAAATTTTATAAAAGTACAGTTTAAGTTTTTTGTGAACCAGAGCTTACCTAAAATTGTAGTTTGACCTTTTTTGTTAAAATCAAATTATATTGATAAAGAAGAAACGGTCGATTTTTTTTTTTTAAAAAAAAAAATTAGAAGAGAAAAAAAATAAAAGGAAATAATCGGAAGATAAAGAAAAAAAAGGGGGACAACTTTTTATATAAATATTTGAAAATTTATGCACAGAAATACGATTGTCCATTGTTTGTTTCTTAGCATTATACATCCATCATATTCTAAATATTCTAAATATTCTAAATATTTTAAATATTCTTAATATTCCATTATAAAATATTTATACAAACATTTATACTACACTATACTACGATATACTACAATCGGGTATATTACTCAATTTTACTCTAATAATTTATATTATTATATTATTTAAAACGTTATATCATACTCATACTATCATACTAATTATATACTATATTAGACTATAATATACAATTATACTAATTATACTATACATATCTATAATTATTAAATACCCAATAAGTCATTAAAATACCATTGTCAAATAAATAAAATTAGAAATTTAACATTTGATGCATCTTAATTAAGTAAAATTTTATCCAAAATGGTCAAATAAAGATTTATCTTTTACAATTTTAAATATTTTGATTTAAAAAAAAAAAAAAAAATGTAAAAAAGACGAAACTATGATGTAATGTAGCATTCAATAAAGGGAATATTATTAGTAGAGAAAATAATATCTGTAACGTTATATTCATGCATTTACCTACATAAAATTATTTTTAATTTATTTTAATTTATTTTAATTTATTTTAATTAATTTTGTTATTATGACAAGTTTATTAATTTTCGTCTTGTATACAATTTTTTTACACCTTATTTGCTACTTTTAAAAATCACTCCAGTATTTTTCTTTCATTTTTTCCCGCCCATCATTGCAAATTTGGAAGATCGACTGTTTGTGACGAGTACAGATTGTTTTAATGTATTGAATGTCTTTGGCAGTTCATTATTCAGATAGATTGTTGTTGTTATTCAGTTTACTAGAATTGTTATTATTATTATTATTATTATTATTATTATTATTATTTTATTTGAAATGCAATAACTGAATACAACACCAACAACAACAAACAAACAACAACGACAACTACGGATAATCCTATGTTTAACAAAAAAAAAAAACTATTAATAGTATTAATTAGTTAACAGAAGTTAAACTAATAAAAACATCAATATAAATAATAAATATAATACATACGTAATATCAATGTATCAATGTATCAATGTATCCGTGATATCATATATATAATAAATAATGAAAACATTAATTAGCTAATCATAAAAACATAACGACGATTACTAATTTAGTATAGTGAATCCCCAATTTTTGTTAGATTTCTCGTAATATTCTCGATTCCCTCTGATTGATAAATAACATAAATAACATAAAAAATTACATATTCTTTTTGAATGCTTGGTAAATGTATATAAATTATTTATATTCAGTAAAGCGAAAAAAATAAAATAAATGTAATTTAAATTAATTATTTAATTTATTTTGAACTCCACTCAATATGAACTCCATTAATATGAACTTTATATGTGAACTAATTAATATGTACTACTGAATTGAATATTCATAGAAAATAATGTTTTAAAAAATACGCGTTCAATAATAATTAAGTTTATCGCGTAAAAATTTTTATTAAATTCATTAATGTAAATCATTATGTGATGTGGTGATGTGTTGGCGCAGGCGAACCTAATGATTATGTTATTAGGCGCAGCCGAATGATTTAGTGATTAGACGCAGTCAAATGATTAAGTTTTTATATACATATATATACATATAGTATGTTGTATTGTACATACTTGGCTTAGATTAGAGAAATTTAATTATTCCTTCCTGTACTGCAATAAATGAATAAAAAGTAAATTTAAAAGGAAATTGTTTCTTAAAAGTAATTAATAATAAGGAATTATTTATTTATTTCACATTGGGGCTCTCGATAAAAGAAACTTTTGTCTGTGATAAGCATCAATGATTGATGATTGCTTAAGCCATTTACAAAATTATGATGTAATTGTATAAAGTCGAATTTATTTAATCATAAAATGATTAACCAGGAAGTAGATGAATTCTACTATTTTTATTCTTTGATATTGAATTAAAAGCATTATGCACAGTATTTCCATTAACATAATTAATGTATAGTAAAATTTGATTTTATATATTTTGATAATTATTATTACTTTTCACTAGTCAAATGGAAAAAAAATAAGATGGTTTTTATTATGAATAGAATTCTGATTGATGACAAGTTTTGTTAATATTTATAGATAAGACTTTCTGATTTATTTTGATTTATGAATAGAACAGCAGGAAATATTGGCAGGCTCTTTTTTTTTGCTAGATATAAGTTTTGCTAGGGAAAATCTATCGTCTTAATCACAATAACTCTATATATATAAATATTTCTGGGTTTTTTAACTACAAGATCTTTAATATTGCTTCCTGAATTTTTTCTACTTTTAATAGCAAGAATTGATTTGATAGAAATGAACTTGCTTTGTTACTTTCTTTCATATTCGAAATTTTTTATACAATTTTTGTTAGCTTTAGTTATTTTTTGAGTTTTATTCAGTTTTTTAAACTTTAAGAACTTTTATAATGGAAATAAACTTGCATCATACTTTCTTTTCACAATTTTAATATATGAATATATATATAATCTTTGATCCTTGTTTGAAGATCAAGTTCAATGTTATTAATTAGTATAGTACATGACTTCAATTTTTATTCTAAAGCAATTTTGTTATCGTTAACTAGGAGTATAAATTAAACTATAGTAAAAATGAACTTTCACATTTTTATTTTTTTTTGCTACCTTTTTATTAAACTTGTTTATTATTGAATTGGTAAAAGAAAAAAAAAATAAGTAAACATATGAATTATACTGGTTGTAAAGAATAAATTATCATATGAAATTTCCCTCAGAGTCTATTACCTTCTTACATATACATTTATATACATTTGAAGTTAGAAAAATTTTTTAGCTAATATATTATAATTAGTACCTTTTTGCCAAAATCCAAAATTACAAATCTTAAATACTATTAAAATGCTGAAATCCCAAAATTCCAAATTCCAAATAATTTAAATAATTTGGGTAACACGTATACTCAAGTTAACATATTACGTATTAGATAAATATAATAATCAGGTATAGTAGTGTAGATCAAATATAAAGGTTCTTTAGTTTATAATTTCAGGAATTCAGGATTTTACAATTTGTAGTATTTTAATTTTATAATTTTATAACTTCAAGAAAATAACTATCTTGCAGTTGAAATAATAAAATATTTATTAACAAAATGTTATATGTTATTTTTCTTGAGTTTGATGAAATAAATGATAAACTATTATTATTTAAAATATAATAATAAGACCTGTATATAAATTGACAGATTGAATTACAAAAATAAAGAAAATTTAATTATTTAATAAATGATAAATTTTTATTAAATAATCCTATCCTATACATATGTATATTGTATAATATTCTGATAAATTACTTGATCTTGAAGTTATGAAGATAAAATAAAGATAACAGATAAAATGTTGAGATTTAATTATAAGTTACTCTGCAATCTTAAATTTAAAAATATCAATATAAATTCAATGAAAAGTCTGATTTCCTTGCTAAAATAATTAAATCTGTGATGCCTTATAACTGTAATAACAGTCTTATCTTCAGAAAAGGGCTAAAAACTTCTTAAAAGAACTGTTAAGTCACTCAACTGGCTTACTCTTGAAGGAGTCAAGTGATAACAGCTAAAAAAGGAGAGTCTTCTATGTATAGTGAAGAAGAATTGTCAATAGTAATAATTCTAGATGAAAATATATCTTCATCCATATTATCACATGTCTACATGTCACATTATCAGATTTCATCGACATATATTGTTAATTTTGAATTAATACAAGCTAAGATCTTACTATAATTTTGAAAAAGGTTTAACGGTTGCTTAAATTACCATAAAAAAAAATTAACTGACAATGTGCATCTCTTATCCTGGGGTCAATAATGAAGTTAGAGAGTTTCTCCCGAAAGATATCAGTGGTACAATAAATTTAATACAAAATACATATTAAGTAACAATTATGATTTATGCTTTTACAATTATTTTTGGGACCCCTCTCCGATTATGTCTTCAACAATAGTATTTTCACTAAAATATTTATCGTTACTCCTACAGACCTTGTATATTATCGTTTTTTATGTTCTTTTATTACACATGTATCTTGTTTTATCTAACTTATCACATGAATTGGTAAATCTGATACTAATTTTCCTACTTGAAACTTGGAACGTTAAAATATGATTTATAAATGATTTATATGTACATAAATTTGCCCAAAATTGAACAGTAATTTAGTGCCGATTTCTCACGGATCAGGAACTTAATAATATTAACTTTTATGCACGACACGAAATATAACTACGAACAAATATTTAAAAGATATCACAAACGTTTCAGAAATCATTACAGAAAAAAAAAAATCACATTATAGTTTAAACCTTACACAACTTTTTATTTGCATTAATAATATTTGTCAAAATTTCGTACATAACAAAAAAGAATCCACAAAAATTAGAATGTAAGAAATTTTTTTTTACTAAAAAAAACCAAATACTATATAATATGTATATAAAGAAATTATTTATTCAAAACAAAGGAATATAAGAGGATATATATAAAAAAAAAAAAAAGGAATCGAAGAATAAAGACGATTTAATTTTTTTTTTTTTTTTAACTGTTAATAATTAAAATGATTACTTTTATAATTTAATGAATTAAATTTATTAAACTGCTACGGTGGGTACTTTCGCCAATCACGTGGACCGTTCTTCAAATCTGAAGTACCGCATCCACATACAGCCTTTACGGATCTCAACCAACGTTTCTCTTCGAAATGTCGGATGAGTTCCGAGATGACAACGCCGTCAACACATACCATCCGATTATTACTAAATAGAAGAAAACTCTTCTGTTGACCAGTCGTAGTCCAGAAAACTATCGAGAAGGTCAGTAATAGTTGTTTCAGCATTTGTGGTGGACACATCCATATCGGAAAGGTAAGGATTAACGACGTCCCGTAAAGGTTCCTCGTCTTGATGGGCCGCTGCTGGGACTTCTCGGGTGTTTCTCTTGCGAAGGTTATTGAGGAAGGTTTCTGTATTTCATCATCATTAAAATTTTCATAATTTTCACAATTTTCACAATTTTCACAGGTGATTTCGACATCTTCCTTTAAATCGGTCATCATAAGAGAATCATTTTCCGAGGTCGCGGATACTGCTGATCCGCGAACACCATCAAGTAGGACTTTAGTCATCTCGGTTACGGATGAAAAAGCAAGTTGTGATTGAATTTCAGAAAGCCGTGCTGAGAGGTCATCAAGCTTAGCTGATAAAATTGTATTTTCCTCTTCAACAGCTTTTACTCGTTTAGAGAGATGAACATTTTCTTCTTTTAAAATATTATTTTGAGATTCTAAATCTGCCATCTGCCTTCGTTTTTTATCACGAGACATTTGAGCTGCATGACGATTTCGTAATATTCTAATATGAAGGATCACGTTTTTTTTAATATTTTAAACCAAATTTTTAATAAAGCAAATATCAATTTTTCAGAATATCACGAGATGATCTAACATATACCTTTCTCGTTGTCGTTGTTCTTTCTCTTCTAAACTTTCTGCTTTTCGCTTACGTCCTCCTGCTGATTTCTTCTTTTCTTCACTAACCACATTAGGAGGAGTACTAGCATTTGAAGGTGATCTATCTGAAGAATTTACATCTTGAACAGCTGTAGAGGATACAGAAGATATAGGACTAAATAGTGCAGGTGCTATAGGTTTTATTGGAGTTATTGGTGGAGTTAATGTTGATAGCGATGTTGATGCATTATTTGTAGTAGGAGCGAAAATACAGTCCACAGTTCGCGCGTAAATACAATCCATTTTTATTAGTGTTTTTTTTTTGGCTTTTTTTTACTTTAATAATGTTAATAATATAATAATATGATTTCGAAAAAAAAAAAAATGAAAAAAAGGGGAAACCTAATTTGATTTGGCAATTTTTCATGTTTTAAATTGAAGATGTGGTTAGTTGTGATTGGCTAATATTTTTCAAGACGTGGTCAATTATTATTGGAAGTTTAATTGTTCCATACTAATTTGGATTTAAGGATGCTTCTAAGACTAATATAGATTGTGTATGAATAGTATGAAACAAATTACAAAAAAATATTTTCTCACAATCAATAAGTTTTTGCACGTCTTATCCCATAAATAAACATATGATTATATTTCCTCCAACCGCCTAGCTGTATTAATGTTTGCGGCTTACCGTGGCATTGGAGCTTTTTTACAAGCCCAAATCACGGATTATGGCTTTGCAAATTGTTAAATGTAAATTAGTAGATCTTACCCATTTATACTACTTTTTGGGGAATTAGATAAGTATCTCAATTATTATTATATTATTATCTCTTAATAATTTCATTATTGTTATCTGTTATAAGATGTGAAAGATGTGAAAGATGTAAAAAGGATTACAATTATTTATTCTTCCATCATTACTAAACTTTCATCATCCTTTTCATTATTCTTTTCCTCATCAATTTCTTCTTGACCATTTGTATCATATATTATTACTCTTCTCCTATCTTCACTAAGTACACAAACCAAATCTCTGGTACCATTTGTAGTCAATTGTGATGGTTTAATAGTTGTCAAATTTTGAGATCGCTGAATTATTAATGGAGAAAAATTTCCATTTTTCTTTATAATTATAAATCGTTAAAAAATCATTAAAATCATTAAAATTATTACAGGAAATTGAAAAAAAAAAAATCAGAAAAAATCAAAAATTATTAGTTACAATTATATTAATTAATAAATAAATATTTTAAAGTATTGAAATCATTTACCATTTTATCCAACACTTGATCAACGACACTTAAATCATCATTGAGTTTTTCAATATTTTGCGGTCCCGGAATTGATATAAAATTCAAATTTGTATAATTTATTTCTGCTAAATAATGTACTTCGTTATTTTCGTCATCTGTTATTATATAAAACCAATCAATATTTAGCATTAAAAAAAAAACAAAAATTTAAATAAATAATTTACCTTTATTATCTGACCCAACAATAATAATGTGCATTATTTCATCATTAAATAATTTTAAATCTGTAATTGAAAGATAATCTTCGGGGTATTCATTATTCATCAATTGAATGGCCGCTATTTCAACAGGTCTGGACTCTGATAATTTATCATTATTTCCGGTATTTAAAGGAAATCGAAGAACCCACACTAAATTTTTTTTAATCAATTTTACAATTATTATTATTTGAATATCTAATATTTTTTAACCATATTCATCATTATTTTCTTACGTGAGGAAGGTAAATCAAATCTTTTCTTATCTGATATATAAAATGCTATGTATTCGACTATTTTTGAATTCTAATATAATAATTAATAAAATAATTATTAATAAAATAATAATTATTAATATAATAATTAATAAAATAATTATTAATGAATAATAATTAATAAAATAATTATTAATAAAAATATTCTAAATAAAAAATACCTCTACTATAATTTTCATATCGGTCAATAAAATATTTTTAAATTCGTTTTCTTTTCCTGTTTTCTGAAGGAATTCCTTATTATTATCATCATTATTATCATCATTATTATTATCATTATTATCAATTAATCCACTAACAATGTCTATGTATTCATTTGCTGTTACGGAGTTCGCGACACTATTTGCTGTCATTGAATATAAAGATTCACAATTTTTCATTAACATATTGACAAAAGATCCAAGCGTTTGTGGACGATAATATTTATTAACTGAAAGATAATCATATGGATATGCTGGTAAAATTTCTATAGATTGAGATTGAGATTGAGATTGAGATTGAGAAGATTGAAATTGGGATTGAGGTGAAGATGGAAATGAAGTAGTTGATGGTGATTGGGGTTGAGATTGAAATTGGTATCGGGGTTGATATTGGGATAGGAATATTGGTTGATATTGAGATTGTTCAGAGGACTTTATTGGAAATTCGAATTTTGGTAGTGATGTAATGTTATCATTAGTAGATGATGTTTTTTTATTTACGAAAAATTCTTCCAATTCATTCATGAAATCCTTTTTAAGTGAATTCTTTAAATATGAAGCAACTTTGTGTATATCTATTCGAGGTGGAAATTCCGAGTTGATAGAATTATCCAATGATCTTATACTATCAAATTCTTTATAAAAACTAAAATTAGTACATAAAGTGCATAATAATTATTACATATATTATCATATTCTAATAAACAAAACTTCTTCTTACCATATTGAATCCATTGTTGAAATTCTTTAAAATTTATATATTCTTCATCAATAACGTTCATTAATTTTTCTAGACGTGAAATTAAACATCCAGTAGACATTAAACATGAATGGACAAAACTTTCAGTAAGGCCAAGTTCCTTAAACTTTTGAGGCCTTTAATTGACATGAAATAAATATTATCCTTTAGTTAAATGTCAAAAAATTTCAATAATATGAACTTAAAATTTAAAACTCGAAATTTGAAATTCATTTAACAATTTAAAAAAAAAATTTAACCATTTGCTATATCCAACTAACGCATTCAACTCTAAAAGTAACCTTTCGCAACCGGCCCGAACATGATGATGAATGTATTCTCGAATTATTTTAAAAGATTTCTGACCTTTGTTTTCCCAATCCTTTAAACCCTAAAATTAATGAATAAAATGAATAATCGAATAATACTTTAAGTATCTTTTTAATAACCAGTATTGAAATCCATATTATAAAAAAAAAATGGAGAGAAGTATATACTCTTTTTGTAACATGTGATTCAAAATATTCAGTTAACATACTACTTGGCCTTCCGGTAGCCAATAATCGAACATATTCAGCAGATAACGATGTTTTTACTTTCTTAGACCAGATTGTAAATTACTTATTAGTATAAGAGAAAAAAATAATGAAGAAAATAGTGAAGGATGATATATTGATAATGAAAACTTACTAGTATGATTATTTAATACTTCCTGAAAAGCATCAAGAAATTTATTTGTTATACGTTTCATATTATTATATTCTACCTCAATTAACTTGACTCCATGAAATACATAATCCATTAAATATTTAATAGCAGTATATCGTTGAGATAATATCCGGATTTCAAATTTTCGGGTATATAACAATCCAGTATTAAAAGTGACCACTAATAATCGACCTGTTATCAATGACTTATCAACAGATGTTTGATCATCAATAGTTTGAATCAAGAGCGTGATAAGTGAGAGATCAGGCGTGACTGATGCCTTCATTATTTTTATATTCTAAAAATATTTTTTATCATCAATTATTATTGATAGAAGAAACTTTATTAATTAATTAATTATTTATTTATCGATAGAAGAAATATTATAATAAAAATAAAGAAAACAAATATTTTCTTATTTCTTACCTTCGTCTTAAGATGATGAGATAAAGAAATTGGATGAAAATTATATACTCCGTAAACACTAAATCAACAATGACTTTTTTTTAGCATTGTTATATGAATTATAGAATGATAGAATGATAAAATGATAAAGAGAACGCTACCTCATTACCTCATATGCAAATTTCCAAGCGTGTCACCCGCTAAAAGCAGATCAATTGAATTTGATGTTTCATCTTCTAATTCTTCTCCTTCGGCATCGAGAATATTTCTTATTAATTTACTAATTTATTTTAATTTTATTTAATAATGATATTAATTAATTTAATTATTAAATTAATTATTATTATTATTAAGATCGCAAATTCGAAGTTTAAATTACCTAATTGGTTGAACATGTGGTAATGTATTCAATCGTGGCAAATACTTTTGAACAGGATGCGCGTGAAGAAAATTATTGGCTTCCTATACAATTAAATATATATATATATATATAATTATTATTTAAAATTGATTCAACAACAACAACAATAATAACAACGATAATAATAATAATAATAATAATATCAAAGAATTAGAACGATTAGAAGATAGATGAATTAATAATAATTAAAAAAAAAAAAGATAAAAGTTACTTGTAACCCAAAAATCATATCATCCGAATTGTTATCTGTATCTTGAACCCATTGAATAAAACTCAAATTTGTTGTTTCATTTGGTTTTTGTGCCAATTCATGAAGTAATTCTAGTTTATCAACGTTGTAAAGTTTTATTTTTCCATTTGAATATCCAATGGCAATTACCTTACCTAGAAAATAAAATAAAATAAAAATAAAAAATAAAAAATAAAAATAAAATAAAAAATAAAAATAAAATAAAAAATAAAAATAAAATAAAAGATTAAAAATATAAAATATAATAGGATAAAAAATCAAGAAAAATTATAAACAATTTTTTATGAAAAAGAAAATACCATCAGGTCTCCAGGTAAAGATCTCAACTTTTTCAACTTTTTCTTGGTTGGGTAATAAAGTCCAAATCTTTTCCAAAGCATTATACCACCTCGCTATCCAAATATTTCCGGAAATAGTTTGGACAGCGATCAAGTCCATTGTCGGACACATTGACACAACTTTCAAGGGAAGTTCAACTACATGTTGTTTAATTAAATGTAACGTATTGCCTTCTTTTTGTTGAAAAATCATTTCACCTATTTTCATCTATTTCATCTACATGATTATCTGTTATTTATGTTATTTATCATGTGATTTATTACTCTTTTTCCCCGTGATCCCAATTCTTTAAAAAAAAAAATATTGAAAGTATCATCTTAAACGCCAAATTCCCGGTCAATTAATTGGAAAACCTTATTTGATAATGAAGAATCTACTATTATGGAATTGCGATCAGAAAAAAAAATTATATCCATCTAATTATAATATGAATGATCGAGAGTACTTGCATGTTGAAAAATATTGGATGTATATTGGCACGGTCTATTCCCAATTTTGGATCTCGGAAACTCTAATTGGAGAGATTTCAGTATGTACGTGCTCAAAATTATTTTTATTGTTTATAAAATATTTTATTTAAATACAATAATATAATAATTTATTATAATATTATTGAGAAATCTAAAGAAAATAAAATAGAATTAATAACAAATTTAGGAAAAAAATTATATGAATTATACGAGGAAAAGGATTGTTCAATATCAAGAACAATGGTGTTTTTTTTAAAAAAGAAATATAAATCGGAATTTTTCAAAGTATTTTATTTATTTTAATTTCATGTATAATAATTCCAGATCAAAAAATTACATTGAAAGATAACAAAATTCTAGATCAAGAAATACATTGAAAGATATAACAATAATCAAATTAATAAAAGATGTAAACTATCTAATAAATTTCATTTGAAAGTTATAAAATATTCATTTTTTTTTTTATTCAGTGATATTCTTCAATTAATAAAGTTGGGCGTTATCAGAAATTTCGTAAAAAGGATAGGAAAAAGAATGACAAACCAAATTCGAAAAATATTTTATGGAGGGTAATGTAGACAAAAGTTCCGTTACAATGCTGAAGAAATGCACAATGAGTTAGACACAAGAAGATGAAATTTATAAGGAAGACGTTCCAAAACTTGCTACAATTTAAAATTAGATATCAAAACTACTCGAGAACATTGTAACAATCAAAATAAATAATATTTTGGATTATTTAATAAAATTATAATAATGCAAAGTTAAATAGTTGAAAAAAATTATTAAAATAAATTTATTGTTTTGAATTATCTCGGCATCTCCCTACCTTCAATAATAACGAAATAAATATCGGAAAATTTTTTATCCATTTTTGACTAATAGATTTCACTGATTTACTAAAATTAATCAAGATTTCGTACTTTCTGATATATTTTGTTGACTCTTGATGAATCTTCTGGAGAAGTTAATTTGATTTTGCTTTTCAGAAACTATAGTAATTATTAAAAAAAAAATAATTAGATTTGTTCATAAGTTTTTTGATAATAATATTGATAATACATATCTTGATACTCAACACTACTTGTTTGTACTTTTGTAGATTTATCTGTTATGATACTTGATCTAACATCTGTGTCATTTCAGTAATTCACAAATTTCTGGATGTTCTTTTGTTAACGGTAGAGATGTAGAGATTTGTATAATTTTTCTGCTTTAGTTCGTGCAAATTTTTGAATGGATGTATTTACCATCTTTCTTTCTAAACCCAACATCAATTATCATCAAAACTTGAGCTTGTGTAATTAATTGATTCTGCAATATATGACAATAATCCAATTAATTTCATTTTGAATATTTTGTGTATAAAAATAATATTTTCGAAATCCATTTTCCTGAAAAAATAATTGCAAGATGTAAATATATAACATAAAACATGAAAAAACGGAATTCTGACTTGACATAATGTTCTGGTGAACACTATGTCCAGTATATTAAAGACAAGGCCCGTGGATCCGGCTACAGAGAGGAGTTCTATGTAGAACTGCGTCAACGAGTATAGGGAAGAAGTACATATAGAATTCCCTCAACGAGAATATGCATTTCAATTCTTTGCATTTTCTCAATTTTATTAAAGACAAAAAAAAAATGGTTTTGCTGACAAAATATTTGATTTATTTTTGATTTTTTAAAAAAAATAATAATAATATAATTTACATTATAATTTAATGTGCGCGCATACAAAGATTATTAAATGCACATATAAAAATAATTAAATGCGCATATGAAAGAATATAAACTCTATTTAATAAAATTATTAAAATTACTAGACTTTTAAGTCAATAAATAGTAAAGAAAGCATTACCTAATACATGTCTAAAATATGACTGAAATATTTAAAATCTACAAGATCAACTCGCATAAAACGTCTCCGTTTGGAACAAATTTCCTTACACTTTTACTACGAGTATCGCTAAGACCCAAAAAAACCTGTTGTTTCTGGTGGTAGTTTTTTTAGATTGAATATTTAATGAAGTGAATGTAGGCTTTTTAAGTAAAAGAAATAAAAGAGATTTTAATTAACGATTAGATTTTTTTTTTTTGAGTTTTATATTTATTACCATATTTATCGTCCAATAAAAAAATCCATTAGTTTATTACATAATCAACAAAAATAACTCTTCTTTTTCTTCTTTTTTTAAATGAATAAATTTCGAGAAAAAGGAAATGATGCCTTCAAAAAAAAAAATTATTTATCTGCATGGGAAATATACACTGAAGGTTTGTCGGAAACCCCAACCGACCCGTTTTTATGGTGTAATCGTGCTTTTGTAAATATTAAATTAGAAATTTTTGAACTTGGATATATGGATGCTTTGAAAGCACATAATCTTTTAACTTCAAATACCCTTCCTTATTCTGATTCCCCTTTCTCAGTTCAATTATTAAAAGATATTAATTTACAAACTCTTTTTATAAAAACTTTTAAACGAATGGCAGATTCGATAGCATTATTTGGTATTCCTCAACGTGCAACTACAATTTTAGAAACTTTATTAAGCCATTCAGTGTATAGCAAATTTATCACAAAAAATATTGATAAACAAAATTTTATTAATGATCTTGAAAATTATAAAAGAAAATCAATAAAATCACCTATTTCAACCATAAATATTACAAGACAAGAACATCTTGAAAAAATTTTGGATATGGGATCAAGTAATTTTGATTATCCTTGGGATAAAAAACGTCAAGAGAATAGATGTTCGGATAAAAATATTAAAATACTTCAAAAAGAATTAACTCCTTATCTTCGATGTAATGTCAGCGTTGGCAGAGTATTATTAAATAATAATAATAATAATGATAATAATTATAATAAAAATACTTCATATCAAATAGGAATATTTGCTGAAGAAGATATTCCTGAAGGAACAGCAATTTGGAATGAAAAAGTATTTCTTGTCGTACACCCTTACACTATTCCAAGATGTCATCATTGTGCTCGTCGTATTCGAGGCGAAAATCGTGAACATCTCAAAGCTCCCCCAAATTTTAAATGTGAAAATACAAATTGCAATGAAATCTTTTGTAGTAGAAATTGTTACAAGTTAGCCAATTCACAATATCATGTTCCTCTTTGTGGAAAAAACCTTCAATCAATCTTATCACTTATTCGTCAAGGTAAATCTGGAAATAATGACAAAAACCCTTTAATGTTATTAAAACTTTTTGCCATGGCCAAAATTCAAAATATTTCTCCTTTAAATATTTCAATTCTCAAATATCTTACACAATTTCATCCTACAAAATTTTCTTCTTCAATAATTAATACATCAACCACATTTCCTGCAATATTTTTTGATTATTATTTAGAAACTCTTAATTTATTAGATATTTCTCTTTATGATATTAAATATGATTTTTGGATATATGTCACATTATTTAATATCTTAAGGGTTAATGTATTTGGATCGCCGGGATATTTATGTTTATATAGATTTATGTCTTTGATTAATCATTCTTGTTTATTCAACACAATTCCACATCACGCAACTTCTAACGATGAAGATCGAATTCTGGACGATTATAATAATGATAATGAAGTTAGTGAAAACAATATGGTAATGATTACCTCAAGAGATATTCAACAAGGAGAACAAATATTATCAACTTATTGTGATCCAAATATAAATAAGGTTCAAAGAGGAATGGTATTAATTCCTACTTATGGATTTGAATGTGATTGTGAGAAATGTAAGAATGAAGATCCTTCTGATATGACATCTTTATATTCGATTCCTTTGTGGCTTATTAAAACTTCTGAAGAATAATAATCTTACGTGTCATGATCTCATGAATAAAATATAATAAAAAAGAAAAGATATCATTGTAGAAAAAATTATTTACAAGATAATATCATAATTTCAAGTTTTTTTCTTTTTTGTTCTTTTTTTTTCCCCATTCATTCTCTTTTCCTTTTTTTTCTTTTTTTCTTTTTTTTTTCTTTTTTCGTTTCTTCAGTTTTTTTTTTTAAAATTATAACGTATAAAACCAAAATCGGTCTGTGTCACCATATTTTGTTTGATTGAAGATAAGGTATCTACAATATATTTTACTAAATTTTCTTTCAACCGGTTCAGCCAGCAAATGCTGCTGCAGGGTTCTTTAAACAAAGAAATACAAAGAAATTAAAAATAATGAGTTACGTTCTCTTTATCTATTCCAGTTTTTAGGTTTACAAAGCTTTCTTTTCAAAGTTAATACTATTATTATTATTATTATTATTATTACTATTATTACTATTATTCTATCATTGGTTACTTAATTAGTAATATTAATAGACGGAGCTCAAAATGAGTACGATGACATCTTGCATTAAGTATATAATTAAAAATAACGTGCGTGCGTGCTGTAATATTTCTACGCCATAATAAAGTTTAGAATTTTTCAATACACGCGATATCAATTAAAATTCAATTTGTTTACATTGTGAAACACACCCAAAACGAGTTGTATTTATGGGGGGAATATTTTTAATGTTTGGATTACGAGTACAATTAGCTTTAATGACGTTTATTATTATTTTTTTAAATATATATATTTTTTTTTTTGATATTAAGGAATTTAACAAATATGTTAAAGATTATTGTCAAGAATATTAAAGATTATTAAAGATTTAGAAACAATCTTTAATAAATGTTTCAGAATAAATTACATTTTTTCCTTATTACATTTATTTATTGAGAGAACTAAATAATTTTAATAAATCAATGGACAAAAATTATTTCAAATGTTTTAGGAATTTTTTTCATGCACGCCCATCAAGAAGAATATCAAGAATATGCAAATATCAAAGGATATCATCAAAGAACAGAGATAGAGATTTTCGTTGAAAATGACCTGAAATGAGATTTTCATGATTAATTTTGTATGTAAATGTTTTCATCTTGCTAAACCACAAATACTGTTTATTTTGTTTATTTTATTTTATTATATATCATATATTACATATATATATATTTTTAAAATTCAACGGAGTCTTGCTCCAATAAATTTTATTATATTATATTATATTTTATTTTATTTTATTTTATTTTTATTGTATGCATGTTTATTGCATTTTATTATTAGTATAATAATTTATGAATTACGATTCGATATCGGAAATAAAGCAATTTTTTTTAAAAAAAAATGCTAGTCCCGCTAAGCCTTTTTCAAATGCATCCCAAAAATTGAAAACCAGTATTACCTAGAATTACAGAAGTTCATATATTCCAAATTAGAAAATTTGTTTTTATTTAAATTTAGGGGATATCGAAAGGCATTTTTCGTTTTTTTTTTTTCAAATTATACATTTGAAAAAACTTTATTTAATCATTTATTACTTAAAACAAATTCTTTTTGTTATCTCAAAATTTTTGTTACTACGCGTAATTTTTATAGATTTTTTTATAGATTGTAAACACAATTTTGATCTGTTAAAATGTTATTTACATTAGGAGCAATTCTTTGTGCATTAGAAAGTGCCCTTGGAAATACTTATTCTTGCTATGCTGGTAGCTTTTTAGTAACATCATCCGCTTTTTATTATACAACCAATCTTTTGTTTTCTTTGATTCAATTTTTCAGCGAAACAAAGATTGGTCAAATTATTTTGAGTTCATTCTTGTGGTCATGTATTTATTTCATGGCTTATGGTTACCAAATTTTAATGAATGGTAATGTTTACTGTCGATTAAAACCTATCATCTTTACTAAAATGTGGAATGATGTTCACGAACAAGAAATGTCAAAACTTGTTAGTTATCATTATGGCGATCAAGATCAACTAGAAGATATAGATGATATTTTTACCTCCGAAAAGAAGCCTCTACAATTAAGTGTTACTTATAATCATGATTCTAAAAAATTCATGTTTGTACCAAATTCTATCGATACCATCAATCAAGAACCATCATCAGAAATAGAAATGACCGTGCCGAATGAGATGCACGACGAAAATAAAGTAATAAATGAATTCACACAAGAAAAAGTTGAAAATAACAAAAATGAAAACTCAGAACGTCAAGAGATTGTTTCAAGAGAAATCATGCAAGAAAGTGAAGTTATCGACGAATTAATACCAGAAAAAATCGAAGAAAGTGAAGACGAGTTAAATGAAGAAATCGAAGAAATCGAAGACGAGTTAAATGAAGAAATCGAAGAAATCGAAAACGCGTTGAATAAGAACCTAGAATACCATGAAAAAATCGAAGAGAACGAAAACGCGTTGAATAAAAATCTGGAATACCATGAAAAAATCGAAGAAAACGAAAACTCTTTAAATCCAAAATCCCATAAAAAAATCGAAGAGAATGAAGAAAACAAAAACGCGTTGAATCAAGACTACCGTGAAAAAATCGAAGAGAACGAAGAGAACGAGAACGCGTTGAATAAGAATCTGGAATACCATGAAAAAATCGAAGAAAACGAAAACTCTTTAAATCCAGAATTCCATAAAAAAATCGAAGAAAATGAAGAAAACAAAAACGAATTGAATCAAGACTATCATGAAAAAATCGAAGAGAACGACGAGAACGAAAATGCGTTGAATAAAAATCTTGAATACCATGAAAAAATCGAAGAAAAAATCGAAGGAAATGAAGAGAACGAAAACGCATTAAATCAAGAATACCATGAAAAAATTGAAGAGAATGAAGAGAACGAAAACAGAATGAATAAAAATTCTATTAAAGATCGAGAAATTAATGATGGTACACAAGTAACTCGAGTTGAAAAGAATGGAGACACGACAATTTATGCTAATCCAGACTCTACCGAATCTCTTGAATCGGAACCAGATTCTGGTGCATACCAAGTTGACGTTGATGAAAAAGAAGCCAATACACTTCCAAATGAAACGCTTCTAAATTCGGATATTGATACACAATCAAAGTCAAATATGAATGAGAAAGAAGTCGATTTAAAACCAAATTCAGTTATTACCAAACCTGTTGTATATGAACCTTTCACAGAAATTCACGTTGCTCCACCAAGTGAACTTTTCCTTGCGGATGCGATCTTGCAGCTTGATCAAGAGATTGAGCAGATTACAGAATATGAAAAGAGTGCTATAGCCGAGATTAAAGAAAAAGAAGCAAAAGATGAACGAGATCAAGAATATGAATTCATGAAAAGTATTCAATGTGGACTGAAGAGACAAATCCATATTCTTAATTACCAGAAATTGCAATATGAGATTCAACAAAAAGAAAATGCTTTGTCTCCTGTAATTATTATTATTTGAATTTTTTTTCTTTTAATATTTATGAAAATTTAAATCTTATTAATTATTATTCTTTTTTTTTTTTTTTTTTATAGAAAACTTCCACGATTTCGATCCCTTCATTTAAAGTGACAACTACTAAAAATTCTAAAAAACATGCTAATTACATTATCATGGTTCAACAAAAATTCACAAATAACCATGTGAAATCTGGATGGGTTCTTGCAAGAAGATATAATGAATTCTATACACTTTATAACAATTTAAAGAAAAAAGATTATAAATGTGTTCAGAATTTTAAATTTCCTGAAAAAACCTTTTTCCCGAATATTAATAATGATTTCTTGGAATCACGTCAGATAAAGTTGAATAAGTTTTTGCAGGTAAAATATATTCTTATCATTCATTTATCCTTTATTATTCATTTTATATATAAATTTAAAACTAACATAACATTTACCTTGTATTTAAATGCATTTATCTTGTTATCATTATAGATTCTCATTTCAGATCCTAAAATCTGTAACGATAACGATTTCAAAAAATTCTTGTATAAGAACCACTAAATATTTTGTAACATTTGTATAATCATCTATTTTTTAGTCAATAATACATTACATTATATATATAGACATTAGCATAAATATTATTATACGTGAAAATGTAAATGAATCATTATTTTTTAATTGTTTTTAATTGTTGTATATAATTATTTATTCAATAAAATCATGAAATTTTAGAATTATTACAATATTTGTAATTTACAAAGGCAAATTTAAAATAAAAATAAATACGGATAATAATAAAATAAATAAAAAATCTTATTTATACATTATGATTCAATGGTGATTCTCCCCAATAGATCAAAGAATCATAGACAAACCCAGCAACCAAACCACCAACCACTGGAGCCACCAAAGGAATCCAGAAATAAAAATTACTAGCACTGAACACTTTTGTCCCATATCCAACCAAGAAAGTAAAAAAACGAGGACCAAAATCACGAGCAGGGTTCAAAGCAAAACCTGTTTCGTAACCAAAAGAAATGGCGATAACAAGTAATCCAATACCGATAGTGATGGGTGCCAAAGGTTTTGAATCTGAAGTATTACGGACATCATCAGTTGCTGCAAGAATTATCAACACTAGGAAGAATGTGCCAATTGCTTCAGAGAAAAATGAACCGAGAGGATTCATGAAATCAGCGGGATATGTAGCAAATATTCCGGCTTTGTTTATTGCAACTTAATTAATTTGTTTCGAAAAAAAATAGGAATTTTGATTATTTAATTATTATAATAATATTATCGATCAATTAAATCTAATATAATTATTTTTAATATTAATTACTCACCCCCATCATAGTGTTTGAGAGCCGCATAATAATTTACATAAACGACAGCAGCAGCGATGAAAGCACCTAAAGTTTGAGCGAAGATATACATAGGAACTTGAATCCAAGGAAATTTACGATATACGGCAAGAGTAATTGTAACAGCCGGATTTAGATGTCCTCCCTATGTTTATACGGAATAATCAAAGAAAAATTACAATAAAAAATATAAGAGGAATTCTATTTCTTTTGAATATAATTATTTTGGAATGATAATATACCGAAACATTTCCAGAAATAACCAAAGCCAATGCTAAACCCAATCCAAATCCAAGGGCGATAGTGATCCAATTTCCATTTTTGCCACCACTAAGTAATGTTTGAGCAATACTACCAATACCAAAAACGCACAAAATGAAAGTTCCCAAGAATTCAGCAAATGGTTTACGATATTTATATTTCATAAACCTCCAACCATGGGAATGAATATGAATTTCTGGAGTACTATTCGATGCAGCAGTAGGTTCACTATTATGAGTTGCTCCATAATGACTAGGACCACTAGATTTATTATGGAGATTTCCTCGTTCATCTGCCATTTTTTTTATTTTATTTTATTTTATCTGGCAAATTTTTTTATAAAATTCAAAAATTGGGGGATTTTTATTACATGATTTTTTTTTAGTACATTCTTATATAAATAATAATGAATGAAAAATGAAAATGGCTATATTTCATTTCACGGATTTTTGTTACGCATGGGCGTTTTTATGGTTTTTATGCTAGTATATTTATGTACGCAAGTACATCGCTTTTTTATGTATCATTTGTTTTTTTATATAACTTGTACATTGACCATGAAATAAATATTTATTTTTATTCACGGAGAACATCTTTCATCCTTTACAATTTTTTTAAAAATTTTACAATTGCATCCTTATTGAATTCTAAATAATAGGTAAAAGGCTAGAAGGCTAAATTGTAGGCGAAATACCATTACAAATAAATCGCATAATTTAAATTTTCAGATAATAAAAAAATATATCAGAAAAATCACGATGATAACGCTTTTTTAATATGGTCCTCCAACTTTGATTTATTGGCCCCAATAACATCAAAATTTGTAAGTCGTACACCGGATTTGAAGAAAGCAAAAGTTGGCATGCTGTTAATTTGGTGTTTGGCGGCCAATTCCTTTAAAAAGAAATAAAATGATAATTATAAATGATAATTTAAACGATAATTTTTATATAATACATAGACGATTAACTATAATATTTACATTATGATTGTCAACATCAACTTTAATGAAATTGACATCTTTATAAATTCCTGAAAACTCTTCAACTGCCGGTGCTATAACTTTACAAGGTCCACACCATACAGCAAAAAAATCTACAACAGTCTTTAAGCAATTTAAACAATTTAAAAAATTTAAAAAATTTAATCTATACAATATCAAATAAATATAAAAAAAAATGTTAGTATTTTTAACATACGATTTTATCTTCACTAATATACTTTTCGAATTCATCGTCGTTCTCTATTTGTTTGACCATTTTTTAAGTTCGTTTTTGAATGTAGGGAAAATGATATTATTTTTATAGATATTTGAAGAAGAATTGATTGGTAAGCAAAACCGATAAGAATGATTTCACTATTTATAAAATAATAAAGATTTTTTTGGCTAAGATTATCGGAGTTTTCATTTAATGTTTATTTAAGGCATTTTTCATTATTAGTGAATAAACAACCAAAAAGGATTAGTCAATCCAGATCCAAAGTTTTACAAACATCAAGGAAAAAAAGCCTCTGGCTAATTTATTAACCGCCTTGCTCTATCTATTAAGTTCCGAACATTTGATACTGGATTGGCGACAAAATATCACATGATAAACAGGGAGAGTTCTTTTATTTTTTTTTGAACATATTAGATTTTATTTTAATTAAGAATTCTTTAAAATTTTGGAACCGTGTTGAAATCTTTGACGTAAAAAAGGGCATAGAGCGAATATATAATTAAATTTTTGTTAAAGAAAAAAAAAGCACTATATATATATATATAGAAAATTCACTTGCTGAATTTCTTCAAACAAGAAGAAAAGAGTAGATCCTATATAAATTCCCATCCTCTATCTCTAACACGATTTTTTTTGGATTAGATTAAAAAAAAAGGGGAATATATATCTCGTGTATATAAAGTCAGAAATTCGTCTTCACACGTAAACAGATTATAAATAAATTTTTCTCCTAAATGTTAAATGTTATTTTTTGTAAAGAAAAATCGTCACTTAATTCTACGTAAAGTTTTTTTTATTAACTCTTACTTAATTTCGACGAACGTATTAAAAATTATATTATAAATTTCTTCAAGGTTAACGTATCTTTTATTGGGATTTTTTTTTTTGACGAATTGCGATCTAGTATAAACTTCTCCACCAACCAAAGTCGTATAACGGATTGAATAAAAGATCGCGACTTCTCGACTCCTGTGTCATTTTGTTTAAAACAGATAGGATATCCGATATTTACGGTCTGACGAGTTTTTGTTTACGTTGTTGGGTTGTTTTCGGAGTGTACGGATCCATAATAATAAAAATAATAATAATAACACATGAGAAAGCGTATCGTGATCTCAATAAGGTCCGTCTCACCAAGGTTTGTTCACTCACTCTTCCTATTTGTGATCGACTGGGTTATGTAACGGTGGAAAAGTTAAACGGATTTAGGATGTACTCATCCTATCCAATTTTTTGTTTATTTTTACCATAATAATAAAAATAATAATAATAACACATGAGAAAGCGTGTCGTGATCTCAATAAGGTCCGTCTCACCAAGGTTTGTTTCTCAAACCCTTCCTATTTGTGATCGACCGGGTTATGTAACGGTGGAAAAGTTAAACGGATTTAGGATCCACTCGTCCTATCCATTTTTTGTTTATTTTTACCATCAATAAGGTCCGTCTCGACCATGTTATTTAACGGTGGAAAAGTTAGGATGTCTCTCATCCTATCCATTTTTTGTTTATTTTTACGATGTGGTTTTTTTCATTAAGATAAAGGATTTTTTTTTTTGTGACGGAAATAATATTAAATTAATAGTAAGACAAGTTCTATGGATATTTTTTATTCATCAGAGACTTTGTGGAGAGCACTATAATTCCCCATTCACGCATAAATGGGGAATTGGTTCGGGCTATTTTTAAGGGAAAAACTGTTATTATAAAATTTAAAGTATAATTTTTAGTATGATTTCTTTCTGAAATAGAGTGATCAGCAGTAGGAGACAAGGGGTGTGATTTCCGACCAGCGTAACCAACATTAAACCTTAATTTCAACCATAACTCTTAATATAATGATAATCACCGGTGCAATTTTCCCAACATGTATTGATAAAGCCAAAGAAAAATAAAATAAAATAAAATACTTACATTTAGTTCCCTAGAAAACGACATTATCGTCATAATTTTTTTTCCGACTAATATCATTTTTTTTAAAGATAAAGTGGTAAGCGACGAAAAATTTTATTTCCGAAAACTTTGTATTCTTTTATGTATCTAATTTTTTAATTTTTTGTTTTAAAAAAAAAAGATATTAACGTTACTTATTGTCGACAAATAATTTACGCCTTCTAACCCAAGTTATGATAATAAATTGGAATCGTGAGAGAGATAAGGAGAATTTATTAGAGTTTTGTTTTTGGTAGCAAATTTAAAGCAGAGTGAATGGGCTAGAACGCCAAAGATCAAAAATTTGAACATTGAAGGTATTTTTATAGTAAAAAAATTAATGGAATGACCAATTTTTTTTTTTTTCATATTCATTTGTGCAGGGCTTTGCTGCCGGGAAATTCCGTGACCAAAGACTTATCTTAACAAGAATAAAAACCTGTTAATTTTATGATTCTTCAAAATAATCATAATTACTTAATAATATTCAACAGTAATTAATTCTAAAAAGGCGAAGTGATTTTCCTAAAATCGATAAATTATACTGTTATGGATTTAGAAAGAAAAATGTTGAACAAATGTTTCAGCGGGGGCGAACATAATTCTTTTCATGTATGCTGATGAATACTTTATTTAGAATAACTTTATTTAAAAACAGGGTTTCGATAGTAATACATTCCATTCCCTACGTTCATACTACAATCCAATAATGATAATAATCATAAATAGTTGGACACATTATATATAAAAGAAATTATTAGAGTTTTTTTTTTTTAATCCTCCCCTTTTACTTTTATATATTATTTTTCCGTAACATGTTAATTTATGTACGCAAATAGGAATACATGTACATACATAATGTCTTTAGTCAATTAGCCTTCGTCATATGTATATATCATTTTTCTCATGGGTTAGGGTTTATCAAGGGGTCTCAATTTTTATTAAATATCAGCTTGTGAAAACCATATTTATGATCACCTGTTTTGATTATGGACCAATAAAATTGAATAACACTTATGATAGCGTGACGAATAAGTAACTACTCAGAAATTTTCCACCCTCTCGAATTCAGTATGACGATAAACTGTACAGTACGAAAAAGCTATTTTGTACTGCATGATTTTAAAAAATAGCCATAAAATTCGTACTTCTTTTTGTTATTGGTCAAAGTTAGGGTTAGGTCACGGGTATAAATCCTTTTTTGTGTTATATATAGAAAATAAACCGTACAGTCACATTAATTTCAATTCATACAGTATAATCAACTGCCAGCTGACGATCTGAGGCAAACGTATATACATATGTATGTCAGGCTAATGTTGGTGAGGAATTACATAATTTCGCCTACCAGCGATCTTCCCCCAAAGAAAATATTACCAAATCTAAGATTATTGTCATCGATAATAGATTTGAGTAACATTTTATACCGAAAAAGATCTCGCAATAAAAATTTAGAAAATTGCTAAAGATCACTGCCACCACTGGGCAAAGTTAGATCAAGGAATTATGTAATTTTGCCTAGTGGTGACAATCATCAACGGTGAGCTTTAGCAAACAAATTTTTACACTCAAAAAAAAAAAAATCTTAACATATGAATCGATCGAAGTATCACCAAAACAAACTTAATATGGATTTTGTATCACAGCAATAACATTTATCATCATCTTACCACGGTGTAACTTCAAATATTATAAATAAACATCAGCGTGGTTCTGATTTTTTTTTTTGCTATTTTAGCTTCTTTCTTTTTTGTTTCTTTATTTATTTTCTTGAAAAACGAGATAATAAATAATAAATAAATAATAAATAAAAAAAAATAAATAGACTTGTAAATAAAATTCATCATAAAAACTATATTAATTAAAAATGATAACGATTAAATCTAAACTAGATGGAACACCTGAAAGTAAAACGTTTGCGTTGCTTGAGAAAGGTGGACCCGATTCAGAATTGGTATGAAACGATAAAAAATAATAATGATTTTCTTATCTCTTATCGAGAAATAATCATTTGGAACTTTTTTTTAAATTTTTTTTTAGAATTATTCAAAATTTTTACCTTACATTTTAATGAATTATAATAATCCCAAAAAATATCCGTTTCTTACTAGATATTTACAGGTATTTTATTTCTTTACTATTTAATTTCGATGCTAATTTCGATGTTAACTCGATGCCAAACTTGATGTTAACTGTATACTCGATCTAATTCGAAACTAATTATTTTAATTATCTTTAGTATGATAAAATTTGCAATTTCTTATCAATTGATCAAAATGAAATAAAAAGTGGGATAAGAGATGATTCCTACCCAAAGATACCGTCAGCATCTGCAATGGTATTATTTCTTTCTTTTTTTTTTAAGTCTTGGAACTTTGAACAATAAAAATAATAAGGTTTACTTATGTGCAGGATATTGATTTGGACCCTGTGCCATTAAATAGTAAAAAGATAATGAGGTGAGAAAATTCCTTTCTAAATTAAAAAAATAAATTAATCCAATAAATTTTAAATTATTTTCTTATTCTTATTATTTCTATTTTACTTGAAGATTAATTTTGCAAGATGTCAATGATCTTACAAAATCGGCAAGATTAGTTTACCAACAAAATACGAATCAAGTTGGGAAATATTGTGATTTAATTATACAAGATCGATCACTCTTTCGATATTTAAGACGGAATGATGTATTATTAAATTTGGATTATTATTTACCAATCATGTTATATAAATGGGATTTAACGACAATGGGAATTGATTACGAGGTAATTTATTTCTCCGTAACTTCATTGTCTATTAATTAATTATATTTTTATTATATTTATTAATTATGTTTTCGTTAGTCATTTCTACAAGCTTTATTACTTATAGAAAACGGTCCATCAATTATATATTTTATGGTTATGAATAATCCACCAATATTTGACAAGGTATAAATATCTTTAAAAGAAATAAAAAAAAATTTAATAAATAAATCATATCAAGAGTTTTAAATAAATTGTTAAATTAGGTCTTTAATATTCAAAAAATTCATCCAGATTGTTAAAATTCTGGTGAGAGTTCATAACAATCTTCCGCCTAGAAATCAAATTCGTCTTAAAGAAGCTTTAGAAAAAATGGTTTCATTAGCAAGATCTCATGCACATTTTGTGCGAATGGTTATAACTGATTTAAAAATATTACCGGAACTTGCATTGGAAATAACACTTTATGTTTGTAGTGATGTTGTAAGTTGGAATTATTATTTCGTGATGCATTAATTAATTTGTTGTCTTTGAATTTAATTGTTTATTTTTTTTTAATTTACAGCCACTTTATTGCGAAGGAATTTTCACGCGTAATACTAAATGGTTAACCTCGGCTACATATAGTAAAGATAATATCGATACTTTACATATTAGACTAATGAAAGCTTTAGAAACCGAAATAGTAAGAATTAATTTTTTTTCAAATTCCTTCTGTGAAAAAGATGCACTCTACGCTCCACTAATAACACTTATAAAATTACTTTCTATAAATACATTCCCTCTATAAATGCATGTTAATTGGGGTACATTTATAGAGTTGACTTTATAATAATATTATTATTAACATTTATCTTTACATCATTAATACATTAATACATTATTATTTTTTCAGGAAAAACCTCAATCTCCACCAACGAATCATCGAACAAGATTATGCATTCTTATTCGAATTGTTTGCGGATTTGTTTCCATTTTTAATAATATAAGATTGAGTTCAGATGAAATTCGTGTATGTCTTAGAGCAATAAAATCTGCAGAATCCGAGAGGTATTAGAAAATTTGTATTTTATATTTTATTTTTTTTTTCTTCTGAACTTTTGAATTTACATATATATATATTTTATTTATTTAATTTTTAAATTTAAAGGCTCAAGAAATTATGTTTGAGTTTCATATTATTATTTGCAGACCGGATTGTAGTAATTGATAGAACATTATTGACATCGAATTTCGCTCAACTCGTTAAACCGGAAAATACGCAATTGTTCATTTTATTTGCGTATTTCTTTCATACCAATAAACTTGATTTTATAGAGAAATTATGTCGTGAAATTTTAACTTTGGATGTTGTGATAAACGTAAAAGGATTAAAAGAAATACAAGGTTCTACCAGAGGATTATTTCAAGAGAAAGTTTTAGCACGATCTGCATTAAATATAGATCCAGATGTGACGTTCTCGGGATTAAGGGTAATTTTAAATTTATTATTCAATTTCATGTTTCGTTACAATTATAATTTAATTAAATTAAATTTAATGTTTTTCAAATTAGTTATTTAAAACGTCACAAGATTTTGCTTATAACTGTTTTTATGTCTTGCTCAAAGGAGATGTGTTTCTTAAAGGAGGATTAAATATTCAACCTTGGATATTAAAACAAATTCAACAAATCAAAACTCCAATACATCCACAATTTATTCAATTGTTGAAAGCATATGTTAATAGGTATTTTTTTGAGAAATTATTTTTAATTATATTTTTTTAGTTAATTCAATAATAATATATTTTCTTTAGTATTTTCGTTGATCATGGTACATATCCGAACTTCTATCCAACTCCAATTACTAAAATTCCTGAGAAAGAGATTTACGAGATGTTTGTCGATTGTGTTCTTACCGATATAACACCTTCGCATATTATTATGTGTTATTATATTTTGACTTATAATTCAACATGTTTGGATAGAAAATTAAATAATTTAATAAACGCCGGAGATCCGAGAAAATGCATGTTTGAATTTTTTTTTTTTTTGAATCTTTGTTTTTAGATATTCTTATTATTTTTTATTTATTTTATTTATTATTTGATTTATTTATTTATTATTAGTATATTCATATGATCTAACTGAATTAATTCCTGTACGAATGATATTGTTTGCAACTGAGATAAGAGGAAAAAATCAAGAGTATAAATATTTATATCCGGAACTTCTAGCTCTAATATCAAATAATTATCCCGAAATTTTCGACATTGATAATTTATTGACGTATGAAGATTGGGAATTAAAAAATAAAATTTCTAATGATTATCTCTTGGAACTTTTAATAAAAGTAATATCTGAATTAGATAATGTTTCTTCTGAATCAACTTTGGGTTAGTATTTCTAACTTTATTTATTATTATTCTTTATTACTGAAAAAATACATAATATATATGTATATAATATTATTATTAATTAATTAAAATTTTATTCGAAATTTTAAGCTTTAAAACAGATTACCAAAGTAACACCGGAAATTTTATATGAACATTCAGATACTCTAATAATATATTTATTACCAAAGATTTTAGATAGAATGAATTTGGAAATGTTAAATTCGATGTGTGAAATATGGCTTTTATTATACAGTATAAATCCTCATGAGGCTGTGTTATATTTTGTAAATGGTTTACGTAATAAAGAAGATAAAAAATCTTGGTAAATATTAATTTATTAAATTAATCATGGTCGTGAATTTATAATTATTTATTTATTTTTGGTTACGAATGTATTACAATATTACAGCTTCACGGAATTTCAATTAATGCTTAATCCCTCATTAATATTTCGAATTGATGGACGAGTATTTAGATGTACTCCATTATATAAAATATTTTTAAAAGTATATATATTTGCATTTATATTTAATTAAATTTTTATTTGTAATATTAATTTAATAATTTTATTTCTAAAATATTTAGGTATTAAAATTTTATATGATAGGATCACGTCAAAGAGTACAACGTGTTTATCAAGAGAATGCATTTAAGGAAGAATCTAGTCAAATAAATATTCCCTTGGCGATTATCGAACAGGAAGTTTTATTATTAACAACTGTATTGGAAATTTGTATCGCTAAACCGACAGATGAAGGAAAAGAAGGTATATTATTTATTAATAAAACTTTATTTTATTGATTTTTTTTTTATTCTTTATTTATTTCTATTATTTATTTATTTATTTTTTTTTTTTTTTGCAGAAATATTATCCCAAATTCGGGATGCATCTTTCCGATTTCTTCATCAATTATTTCTAGAAAATAGTGATTTATTAAAACATTTACATTTTGCTGGTTATTCTAAAGAATTAGTTCCATTAACTACGAGTAAAATCGAATCAATGCGTAAGTTTTCAAACATTCTAAACATCTTGTGTTAATATATTAATATAACGTTGATTATTTTTTATATTTAGACGCGTGTTTGCATTGGATTCATGAAATTGTGAATCATGAAGATAAAGAAAAACAATTATTTGGTTTATGCTTGGCCGGAAATTTATGTGAAGTTTGGCCTATGCAACAAACGTAAATAATAAATAATATATTTTAATATATTTTAATTCGCGATTTACAAATAGAAAAATTTATTAATATTATTAGGTGCGAGATGGCCAAGAAAATTATATTTCCTTCCATCAAACGTAAAGTTTTCGATCCCACAACTAAAGTTTTATCACCCGAAGCCTCAGAAATTTTGACAATATTGTTAAAACTTCACCGCGTATTTGAAGAATTACGTAATGATATAGTAGTGTTATTACGAGGTAGTTATTTAATAATTTATATCTAATATTATATCTAATATTGATCTCACTTTTTTTATTTTATTTTTTTTGATTTTAGACATCGAAGAAAAATTAATGATACGAAATCGATATAAAACGACGTTCGGAAATAAACGGCGATCACAAGAAATTATATCTCAATGTCTCGAATCTATTGGTGAAAAACCACGAAATGATGATATGATAAGATTTCGAGAGATTTTTCCGTCACAAGTGGAACCGTAAGGTAAGATTAAAATTCAATACGAAAAATGTAAATAAAATTTTATTTCATTTTCAGCTCTTATAAAAAATAAAAAACGATAAGAAAAAATTATGTTTTTTACTTTTGTGAACTTTATTATTTTTGATATTATCTTGATACAAAATTCTCAATTGTTAACAGAGATATTTTCAGATGTAAATCAACATTATTAAGAACGTTCTTATATTAAAATGAAAAATAATGTCATAATAAAGTGTTGCTAATTCAGTAGCTTAAGTTTGGCATTGGCGCAAGTTCTCAGCAAGGTTTTGACAAGCGTGTGCACAAGTTTGACAATGATCATTATTATGCTGGAATGAATGAAATAAAATTATTCACATTTAATATTGTTTAACAAAATATTCTTTAAAATGATAAATTGAATTTAAAAATAAAAATTACCTTGATACTGTTTAAAATTGTAATATTTAAATATAATAAAGTTAGTTTTTATTTTTTTTTCATTTAGTAACGCAAAGGAAATATCGAGTACTTACCAAATTTCAGCACAATCTTGACTAGATTTAATAGTAAGATCAACGAGAGTATTCACTTGAGGTGCATTTAGTGAAATCAATTTCGCGGTGCATGAAGCCAATTCTTTGAAGAAAATATAATTTTACGTGAGTGACTAAGTGATCAACACAAGAGCGAAAATTATCAGCGAAACATAAAGTTAAAATACCTGCATTAATACGGCATGTTCTTGCGCATCCTTCAGAATTTGCGTGTTCAGCACAATTCTAAAAAAAAAGGTTATTATTTAAATTTCTATAAAAATCTTGACAGATATATAAAAGATTTTCAAAAATTATAATATTTTATTTATTATTTTACGTACAAGACACGCAGCAGAACTATCCATACTTTTCAAATCAAATAAAAAATAAGTAAAACAATTTTTCATATTATACGCGTTTGAAAAAAAAAAGAGGAGAAAAAACATACCAATCTTTCATGTGCTGAAAGTTGCTTTTGGGAGTTTGAGCCATTTTTTTTACAAATACAATTTTTTTGAAAAAAAAACTTTTTTAGAACGCGGCCATTTTTTATAATTCAAATTTTAGATAACGTATTCATGATTTAATAATACCATATGATATGAAATTATCTCTTGAACCGTCAGTTTTCACATGCTACTATGTTTTAGCGGGAAAATTTGCCCGCTTGACGGATTAAGGGATACTATTTATGAAGTCAAGTTTAATTTAATTTAATGAAACCGTGATTAATATGATGACAAATTTAATCACAGTTTCATTAAATTAAACTTAATGGAAAAATCATTTAACAGCCTAGTGATTAATATGATGACAACTTTAATCACTAGACTGTTAAATGATTTTCGTATTACGTATTAATTTTCCCTTTGAGGATAAGTACCAAAATTTGCTAATACATAATGAATAAATCTGATACTTTAATTAAGCAATTAAAAATTGATATATTACTTCCATTACTTCCAAATTAAGAATTAATATTATATAAATGAAACCCGAAGACATTGTAATGTTTTACAAATGTAAAACTTTGTTACTTGAAAAAAAATAAATCAATTTTTTTTTATCAAAACGTAAATTCAGATACAAATTTTATTTTTTTAAAGAATAAACTTCTACCTTACTATAAGTGAATAAAAAATGTCAAAAATTAGTTTATGCCCAGAATGCAATGAAGAATATAATGAATATTGGTGTATTCCGTGCAACTCAAAACGTTTCAAAAATGATTTTGATAAATGGACAAGCGGAAATGATGCAATAAATAAATTTATTCAAGATACTCAACTGGGTGATGATTTTAATAAAGTAATAGAATGGATACCTTATGATAAATTTAAAGATATTAAACGAATAGCAAAAGGTGGTTTTGGTACTGTTTATAGTGCTAAGTGGATTGATGGATATATTAAAAGTTGGGATATTAAAAATCAACAATGGAAAAGGCGTGGCCAAATTGAAGTGGCATTAAAAAAGATTGATGGAGATATAAATGAAGAATTCGTAAATGAGGTAAAGTAATATTTTAAATTAATATAAAAATTTGTTTGAAGATATTTAATCATAATATAATTTTAAAAAAATTTATATTTAGATGTCCATTTACTTGAAATTAGTAAATACAGTATCTGCAATTAACCTTTATGGAATTACAAAGGATCCAAAAACTCAAAAATACATAATGGTTTTGGCTTATTTAAAAGGCGGAAATTTTAGAAATTATTTAAAAAATAAGTTTAAGAGTATTGAATGGTGTGCGAAATTAAATTATTTATCAGCATTAGCAAACATTTTTACAACATTTCATAATCTTAATATAGTTCATCAGGATTTCCACCCTGGGAATATTTTATTACCTAATACTCAAGGATCTATTTCCATTTTATGTATTACAGATTTTGGGTTAAGTAAATTAGTTGGGGAAAATGTAGAAAATCCTCAAAAGAGAAATGTTTTTGGAGTATTACCCTACATAGCTCCTGAAGTATTAGCTGATGAAGAATATACCAAAGCTGCTGATGTCTATTCATTTGCAATGATTGCTTATGAAATCATTACTGGTCTCCCACCATATCCTAATGTACCACATGACGATGCGTTAGCTTTGAAAATATGTAATGGATTACGACCAAAAATTCCATTTCACACTCCTAAATTAATTACAGAAATGATTATGCGATGTTGGGATGCTAGAGTTGATCATCGACCTACTTTTGAAGAATTAAATGTTAAATTTGGCAGATATTTAAAAGATTATAATGAAAACGAACGTAAAAATAATAACGAAATTACAATTCAAATTAAAGAAGCTGAAGAAATTTCTGAAAATCAAATAACAATCGAAACAACAATTGATACAGCAACTATAACTCCACTTAACTATAAAACACATCCACAAGCAATTTATACTAGTAGACTTCTAAATTTTTCAAATCTTCCAGAACCCGTAAATGAACCAAATTTTGAAAAAGAACTTGAAGAAATAACAGAATCTTTTTCTCGTATAATTACTAGTAAGTATCAATTATATATTCATTTTATTCATTTTCCATTTCATAATTAATTAATTTTTTAATTTTTTTAGATGATGATATTGATGATTTCGATTTCTAAATACTATATAAATTCATTTTATTATTTTGTTTTTTTTTATTATATAAATATATTTGTATAAATTCAATTAATTTAAGTTTGTATATTTATATTTTATAAAATCTTATAGATCGTAAATTTACTATCACATTTGTATAACATTTTTTATTTAATAAAATTTCATTTTTTAATGAGCCACTCTTTATCTTATAATTTTAATAATTTTAATAATTTTATAAAACGTGATTGTACAGATTTGTTGATTGCCACTATACAAGTTTAGAACCGTAAAAAATGCAACAAGTTAGAAGTGGATATACCAACTTAAAGCGGGAAACGTAGCACCTGTATAATTTTATGCACATTACCATAACAGCAACCCAGGGCTCCGTTCAACACCATTATTTAAGAGTGGAAGAGTATCCCATTAATTTATACACAAATCTTGTTCCGTTTAAGGCAAAAAAAAATAACGCTTTTGACTTTGATTTCGATTTCGTTGACTTTCAAATAAACAAAGATCGCGAAATGATATAAAAATTTGCTCGCTCTCGTCGATCAGTAGGATGTAAACGTGTAAAGTTTGAATTGGTCATGTTATTCTATTTTCTAAATCCGGTGGCGCAGTTATGCAGTATTATTTATATTTATCGTCTGCTAATTCTGTCAGTGTTCTTTCGTTCTTTCTTTCAAATTCGTTTTCGGTATTATATTATTATATTATTATTAATTATTGATTGTTATAATTAAATTTTAATGATATTATTTATTTTATTTTATTAAGACATTAATGATTAAAAAATTCATTATTTTATTTATCTAATTTTTATATATTTTATATTTTTCATTATTATTTTTTTTAAAAAAAAAAGTATCGAAAAAAATGAATCTCCCAGATATAATCAAATCTCCTGCCATTCAAGTTTTAGGAAATAATTGTTATACATCTTTAGTGGAACAACTTAATTTAAGTGATGTGGATTGTCTCAAACTTTTGTTATCTAAAGGGTTAAGCATGGGTATCGTGTTGGGCGGAGCATTAGCAAAACTTCCTCAAATTATCAAAATTCTTTCCGCTCGTTCAGCTCGTGGTTTAAGTCTTGGAAGTTATGTATTAGAAACTCTTGCTATGGGAATTAGTTTCTCTTACAATCTTCGTCAAGGAAATCCATTTAGTACATATGGAGAAGTAGCATTTCTTACTTTACAAAATATTATTATATTACTCCTAATCTTGAGTTATGCAAATCGTATTAGAGATCTTTTCACCAGTGTATTAGTTATAATCGGTTCAACATACGCTTTAGGACAACCTTGGATAATTGATGATTCTAATTTGGCATATCTTCAAGCATTATCTATTCCTATTTCTTTATTATCAAAAATTCCACAAATTATTGCGAATTATCAAAATGGAAGTACTGGTCAATTATCAGCATTTGCAATATTTGGATTTACTCTTGGTTCAATAGCAAGAATATTTACTACACTTACGGAAGTGGATGATTTACTTATTTTATCAGGTTTTATTTTAGCTTCTATATTTAATTTAATTTTGTCAGCGCAAATGATAATGTATTGGAACGTGGATAGCAAGATTAAGATTACTGAAAAGAAGGATTAGATAATTGAAAACGTGGATAGAAAGATTATTGAAAAGAAGGATTTAGGAATGATTCAGTAATTTCGATTAAAATATAAATATATAATTTTATTCATTCATTCATTCATTCATCTTTATTATTATTAATAAATAACATTTAATAACTAAACAGAAATTTAACTTTATTCTGTCTAAAACTTAAATAAATAATTACAACTGAAAACAAATCATAATTATTTTATATATTTTATGAGAATAAAATTTTAAATACTACCGTTTGTGATTTTGACACAAACATGATTAATTTAGCATAATCTACGAAATTATCCCATACTATTGATCGCGATAATTTCTAGTTGTCATGTTTTTCGTAGGACCCAATCTCTCACATAAAGTGCAATTGGCTATTTTAAAATTAAAACGAAACCCATTTCCATTTTTTGTCAATCAGGAATTTCAGCTTCCATTTGAATATGCAATAATTAATGAACTTTACCCCTCCCTTGCGATGTTTCGGACGTAATAATACCATAGCGAAACTTTATCGAGCTCGTCGGAAGAACGTACTTCTAACTTGAAGTACTTTCACTAAATTACCTACAAAGCAAAAAATATATCAGAAATCCCCAATGCTAAGAGTATTTCGAAGCTAGATCCCTATAATTGTGGAGGAGATATTTATTCCACTTCGATATTTTACAATATTACACATATCCCATTGAACGTGTCTTAAGAATATATTATGCGAGCAAAAGAACGTTATCTAACATGTCCGGCGTGCCTCGTAACTATTGAAACAATTAGAGAAGAATTTGCATTCGCTCCAGATAATACTCAGATAATAGCAGATAATAAAAAAAGCATCTCATCAAAGCGTGATACTGTAGATGGTAATGATATTGATTTTGAGTATGTGAAAGAAATAGGTTTTGTGAGTGGTATCTCTCTTGTGGGTTAAAGAAATCAAACGAACAAAGTCAGTGCATAGGATCTCTTTGTGTATGATCAAGTTACAAAACCAATTATATTAGCACTACACAGAAAATCAAATCAACGCAAATAACGAAAACTCGTCATGACAGTCATATGATCGGGATAAATTTGGAGGGTTTATTGCAAATATTATCCAATCAAAAGGAGAGACCGATGAGGATGAAGATTACCAAAAAGCAAGTTTAGCCAATCACTATGCGAAAAGATTCGAAAAAGAAAGTCAAAGATATCATGGATAGTAACAAAAAAGTTAAGGACCAACAAACTAAAACCCAAGTAAATAATTCCATTATACCACATGGAAAATCTGCGTAAGAAAACCCAGAAGGCTAGAAATATTCATAAATTGTTTAAGGAATAGGGATAAAAGTATCAAACTCCTTGTATCATATAGTGCAGATACAATTTCAAAGTTAACTGGTATCCAAATCAAAAGCATTATTGATCGCTTCACTATTCTACCAGTGATTCGTATGTAAAACCCTTTATTTTAACACAGTGTACTGTTTGGATGTCACATTTGAATAAAATAAAGGTAGTAAGTATTTCCGAAGTGCGATCACTATGATGCACGAAGAGCGACCTTTGACAGGTGATTCTCAATGTGATTGACTGTTTTTCGTCGAAAAAATTATTTTACAAAGTTAGATTGTTGTGCGATGTATACTGCACATGCATAATTTTTTGAATACATCACTTTATTGTTTTTTTTTTTTAGATAAAAATTAAGCCTAGCTAATACAATATTAAATGAAGGAAAATTTATAATAAAAAGTATGATTCAAAAATATCTTCTACAAACATACCAAACTTATTGTACAGAAAATTAAATGTGCTACGAACCGATCTTATCATCAGCTCAATTAAAGTTTTTCGGGTTTTTTTGTAAAAAAATATGTATGTTAACACAAATATCATTATAAAAAGAACTGCAGCCATAAAAAAAAAAACTATAATTTCTATAAAATAGGAAGTGTAATATCTTAGGCTTTTACCATCAATATTAAGTTTAATCATGTACAAAAATACACAGGCTAAATAAAAAAGGGCGAACTTTTCAAAAAGGTATAAAGACATAAGAATAATAAATAATGAAACCATAAAATCAAGAAATTCAAGAAATGGATTTCGGAATCCTAAGAGAAAAAGGTTTAATATGAATTATTATTGTATATGATATTTTTTCCTTAAAAGATTGAATCTTTCTTACCATTCGCAACAAGTTCAGCGATTTTTTTATCATCATTATCAAGGAAATAAATTCGATAATCTTCATTGGTGTATGTAGCTCCAATTACTTTAACTTCTATACCAAATCTTTCAGTAGCATATTTTTTATATCTTTTAGCTTGCTCTTTAACCTTATGTTTATCATCATGTCTATTAACTCTAGCATTTCTGCCACTTCCCGAATTTGGTTTCAATTATCAAATAAATCCCATAATCGGATCCAAAAATTAAATATCCTTTTCCTTCGTTCGAATAACCTTTTTTTAACTTCCCATTCAAAATCTATAAGATATTTAAATACTGGACAAATTCTGTCGATTCGATCAATTAACTCATTTTTCAATTCATCTTCCAGATGTTTCGAAAATACATTTACTGGATGCATCGAATTTTCATAAACAATTTTCCATTCTTTTCTTCTATCTTCATCAATTTTTTGTAAGTTCATATTGAAATTTTTTTGTTTTGTTGCTAATTTTGGAGTATAAAAAAAATAATATCATTTCACCCCATTTATAGTCAATCTGTTTGCCAAGCCTTCTTTATCCTGTTTTCCCTTATATAGACTTTTGGCTATACCTATTATCAAAATATTTATTTACGGAATTGGAATTATTAATCGCAGGTCCCTACGGATCTTGTTTATACAAGTTGAGGGATATCTATAAGTTGTTTGGATATGAAGAAAGTCATCATCCTATAACTCATGATCAAGTTAAGTAAAAAAAATCAAGTGGGTTAAATCTTATAGTGCGAATTACATTTTGAAGTCAACATCCATACAATCCAATCCATATTATTATCTAATGTGTATTTATTATATTAAAAAATTTTTGAATAAATATTCTTTACAATTCGGAAATATTTCATTATTATATAATTCCAGTTCATTTTTAGATATACGAGCCAAAACCCACTTTGATATAATTTCAGTTGATCGATCATCAATCGCTCCAGGTGGTCTACCAACACCAACCCTTAATCTCCGAAATGACTATAGTGTAAAAGAAGGAAGGAAGGAATTTAGTTTCTATTATATATCCAAAATGTAAAATAATATATATATATATATATATATATATATTTATTTATTTATTTATTTAAAATAAATTATTAAAATAATTAACTTACTTTAGTATTTAATAAATCTATTATAGATTTAACTCCATTGTGTCCACTAAATAAATATTTAAAATACATTTTTATTGAATTTTTTAAAAGTAAAATATTAACAATTTTTACAATTTTTTACTTACTTTGCACTACCTCCACTCTTTAAACTTATTTTTCCAGGTTCACGTTGTAAGTCATCATGAATCACAATAATATCTGAATTTGATAACCCAAGTTCTTTGACTAAACAATATTTAAAGATCATTTATTAATAAAAATAAATCAAATTCATAAATTAAATATAAATTAGATTATAGATTAAATTATAAAATAATTCAATTAATTTATTGTACCTGCTTTAGATACGGATTTACCACTTATGTTCATTAATAATAAAGGTTTCATTAATGTTATTTGTAAAGGAATTGGTTCAGGTTTTGGTTTTAATATCTTTTTAGAAGGAGGAGGAGGAAGATTCTGTTTGTTATCATTTTTCATTGTCATCATCTCATTGGTTCTATCTTCTTTATTCTCTTTTTCTTTAGAATTCTCAATAATAATATCTTTATTTATTTTATTATTATCCTTTATTACTCTAGTTTTTTCATGTTTAACCTTTGGTGATTTAATTATTGGTGGAGGATCAACATATATCACTGAACTAGCAACTTCAGCTGGCCAATTTTTATTTTTATTCCAGGTTAAATTTAATTGTGATGCTATATAATCCAATAATAACATTCCTATACTATGTCTTGTTTGTGGGTGAGTAAAGTTACCTAAACCCACTAACTATTTAAAAAAAAAAATTGGGATTATTATTAATTTAATTATTCATTTTTTTTTTGAAATTTTTGAACATCATATAAATTTTACCAAAATTTTTCGTAATTCAACCATTTTTTTTTCTTTCACCGTTTTAATGAAAATCAAAGAATTTTTCTCGGGTTTTTATAAGGTTTTTTGTGTTACATTAAGAAACGAATTACAAGTTGATGGCGTAGCACGCAGCAGTAAATAATATTTTACTTTGCCACGTTAGTTTTTAACAACAAAGCGTATTCAAAAATTTCTTATACCGAATCTAAAACAAAAGTTTTATATATATCACAAAGGAAGATAAATATTTTCTTCAAAAAATACCTATTGTTATCAAATATTATTAAATAAAATTACAAAGTACAAAATTAAAATTGAAATAATTATTATTCATATTTTTTTTCATTAAAATTTTTTTATATTTAACAGGATTTTCCTGAATTATCCATTCATTGTAAAAAAAAAAGATTATGATGATAAATTAATAAAGGTAATATCCAAAATTTTTTTTAATTGGTATTAGTAGATATAAAGGAAACAGGGAAATTTTTTTTTTCAAACTTAACATATTTGAGATATTAGAGAAAGAATATTTTTTTTGCCTACAAACAAAATAAAATATATATCCTGTCAAATGGCGTATAAATTAATAAGAATAGTTAAAATAATAAAATATAATTACAAAAAAAAAAAAAAAATCTGTAAATATGTTATTTGAAATATTTAAAATACAAAGCAAAAATAGTAATAAAGATATTATAAATTAATTAATTAAAATTTTTCAAAAATAATATTTTATATTATATAGTTTGCATAAGGTAAGCAAATCGAATTTTTAAATTTTATGTCAAAAGGAATTACTAAATATTAGAAATTAAAAAAATTAAAAAATTATTAAAAAAAAAAAAAAATAAAATCAGGGAAAGGGAAAAATATATTAAAAAGTCCAATAAAATTATTCAATGATTATGTGATAATTCTGACTGCGACTGCGATTGTGATTGCGACTGCGATTGTGATTGCGACTGCGATTGCGACTGCGATTGCGATTGCATCTCCATTATACGAGTATACATTTGTAAAGCACGGAGAATATTATCTGGATCCATTAATACCGCATCCCCTACTTGCTCGATTACACCAGCGAATTTTTCGACCTTTTTAAGGATTAATCGGGCAACTACATTCTATAAAAGAAATTTGGTTAGATCAATAAAATCATATGTATTATTCTCAAAAAAAAAAAAAAAATGGAGAATAACTTTTACCTCAATTCTTGTTATTAAACTTTCAAAAATCCTTAACAATTCTTCGTCATCAGCATTGTCTTTTACATGAAAAGTTAAAAGTCCTGTCAAATAGTCTGTTCGAGAATTCCTCGAAGATCTCTGGCTAACATATCCAGATGATACTCGCTCAAGGCGCAAGCAAAGATAGCCAAGTGATCGAATATCGAATGGGTCCAAAATTTGAGATGATGGTTCAATTGTCTTGAAAAAAAAAGACGAGATTAATAAAATTTATATAATAATAATTTAATAACCAACAAATTATAATCATAATTATTATTATTACTTGAGGAGCTGCTACGGAATTACGGGCTTTTACTTCGTCTGCTTCCAATCTACCCTTTAATTTTTCTGGATAAACCTATTATTTATTAAAATCAAATCCATTAATTTTTGATTAATTTAAATTATAAATTTAAATTATATATTTAATTATTACGTTTCATTTTATTTATTATTATTTACCAATGATAATACTTCGGCATTTTCTAATCCTTTAAGTTTTCGTTCACCAATTTTTTTCACTACAAATCCCATTTTCTTCAAAGCTGTAATATTTTTGTCAATAACATATTCTGGGAACATCATTTCTTGTGAATCATCATCTCCTCCTGTACTATTTTTTCTCGATGAAGCTTCATTATCTTCATCTAATAATCTAATTTCTGATTCTACATCAGAACTGACACATATCTGTCCTCCATCTGCTGCATTGCATATTCTTGCCGCTCGGTTAACCATAGGACCAAAATAATCCATTCTTCCCGTTACTATATCAGTCTCCCACACAGGTTCACCACAATGTATTCCCATTCGAACCGAAAGACCTTTATATATTAATTCATTTTCTGTTATACTATAAACTTCCTTCCCATCATCTGAATCAATAACTTCTTGTGGCCAATCAACCTTCAAAAGCTCTAATTGTACTGTGAAACACCATAAAAGTGCTGCCGCGACTGTTGGAAATGAGACCATAAATGCATCCCCTTCAGTTTTTACTTCATATCCTCCTATATTACGAAGTTGACGACGCATAATTGTATTATGTTGTTTAATAGCATGTCTCATGGCAACAGGGATTGTTTCCCAAAGAAACGTCGAATTCTTTATATCAGTAAAGACCAAAGCAATTTGACCAGTTGGTGGAGCAATTTCTTTCTCTAGTCTTGCCATAGTGGAATCACTAGGCATCTCATAAATTCGAAGCCGTTTTTTACTATAACCAAATAATGTAATGGTTCCGGCTTCGTCGAGACCCTTTCCTTTATCCCTTCCTGTTAACTTTTTACGTATATTTCGGTCAAACAAATCACCAACCCCAATGATCATTACCGTAATATTTTTGTCTGCACCATAAGAGATAGCAAAATCACGTAATTTTTGTGCTGCCAACATTAAATCTTCCTTTTCAGTTCTTGCTATATCTACAGCTGTTTGAGGACTCATGCAATCCCATAACCCTCGTGTCGCTAATATCAAAAATTCATCTTGTTCAGAAAGATTTACCACCTCAATGATAGGGTTACCGTTAATAATTGGCATCAAATGAAAATGACCAAATGAACGTGAAACGTCTACTTCACCGTTTACTAAACCGTCATGAGAAATAAAACCATTTGCTTGTCTTATTCTTTCAACCTCAGCTGAAATGTCTGGACATTTAGCTATAGTTAGAGCACTTCCACCACCGCGACTAATGACTGCCACAGTATCTCCAACATTAGCTATATATAATGTAGTACCTGAAATATAAGCTACTATTCCAGAGGCACCTGACTTGCAATCATTTATCCCTGCTGACGTAGGATTTAAATTTTCAGAATCTCGGGTATATACATCACCATCCAAACTAGAATTAAAAACTTTTGTTCCAAGTTCTTTGTTTAAACTTAAGAACGAACGTCGCAGGGCTGATTCTACAAATTCGTTTTCTTTTTGTCTGTCATTTTCTCGGGGTTTGCTATATTCTTTAAGTTTTTCAAGTTCTAATTTGAAATGAGATGGGAACAAATCATGAAGAAACTTTGTGACTTGTCCACCTTGAACAAAACCTTTACGAGCATCAAAGAGTCCAAATAAGCATTCATCATCTCTTTCACGAAACTTTGGAGTTACAGATTCCCATGTGGAAAGATTTTCAGACTTTCCAAGAGTATCAGCCATTCCATACGATATAGAATTTACTTCAGATCCAGAGGTTCTTACACGACGATTGTCACTCTCATCAGGAACTGTTAAATTTAAAAGTGTAATATCCATAAGACCAAGAACTCTCAGGAAACGTAATGCACTAAAGTCGGTCAGAATACGACCTCGAGGAGGGTTGAGTTCATGTTGAGGCACAAGTTTTATTTCAAATCGTTTGTTACCAGAAAGATTAAGATACTTGAGGTGGAAATTCCAATTCCTATATTAAAGTAATTAAGAAGAACGGGTATCAAAAATAAAATAGAAAATAAATGTTATATAAATTCCAATTATTATAAATTATTATTAAATAATAAATCCGTTAAAACCAACCAATTCCAATCATACTGCCAATTAGCAATATTGTATTTTAAGAGGTTACTTCCAACATCTAACGCAGAAAGATTCTTTATTTTACTCAATTCAGCGGGCAAAGTTTGTAACTTGTTACCATTAAGATGAAGAATTTTCAAATTTGTTAATTTTTCAATATCATCTGGGAGGGAAGACAATTGATTACCAGAAAGATATAATTCAGACAAATGTGGATTTGCAACTCCTCCAGTGGGAATTTCATCCAATTCATTGAATGAAAGATTCAAAACTTTGAGTTCCGTAAACCTTGAAACAGCTGGAAATATATCTGCAGTAAGACGATTATCACCTAAAAGCAATGTTTTTAGAGAATATACGAGTGGAGCTTGCGTTCTTGTTCGTGAAGAAGGTGATGATCCTGCTTGAATATTATCAGGGGGGGAAGGAAATTCATCTAAAAGATTTGAACTAACATTTAAAGTGACCAAATTTTCACAAAGCCATATTTCCTTTGGAAGAGATTTAAGATTATTATTGTGAATGTCAAGAACACACAATGATTTTAAGCTACCTATTTCGCTTGGTAGTGATGAAAGAACATTGCTTGTACAAGAAAAGTGAGTCAAATTTATCATTGACTTTATAGTCATTGGAATTGAAGTAAGTTGGTTATGACAAAACCTAACTTTATGAACGAACAATAGGTGTTCAAATAAGTCATCGGGTAAAGTAGTAAGTTTTGAATTGGCCAATGATAACTTTTCTAATGAACCTCCTGTTCCTTTTAACGAAAATTGAGTGAGATGATTTTTACATAATATGAGCTTTTGTAATTTAGATGATGATAAATCTACAGTGGTTATATTATTATATTCAGCTTTAAGAACTTTAAGATTTTGTACTAAAGAAAGACTGTCGATATTGGTGATCTGATTTCGACGTATATCCAAAATTTCCAGATAAATTAAATGTTGAAAACTTTCAGGTAACTTATCCGTTATTTGATTGCCAATCAAAAATAGTCGCCTAAGATTAATTAATTGCCCGATCTCTTTTATAACTGAAGTTATCTTGTTATAACTTAGATCTAATTCTTTTAAAGTTTGGATATTACAAACCACTAGTGGAAATTGCGTGAAGGAATTATTCGCAAGATTTAAAATACTCAATGTTTTAAATTGAGAATAGTTTTCAGGCAAGCTTTGAAGTAAATTGTTCTCGACAGATAATTCCGATAATTCCCCAACAGTTTCTAATGCGATATGATCAAGATCTTTAAGTGAGTTAGAATTCAGATTAAGCAAAGAAAGCATTTCAGCATGTCTTACTGATTGCGGAACATGTTCTAACTTATTATTTGAAAGGTGAAGTTCACGTAATTGGGTACATGATTGTATAAAATCTGTTGGAAGATCGAGCATTAGATTTTTAGAAACATTAAGCGAACGAATGTAATAAGCGTGCCGATAAAGGAATATTGGGATGGTTTGTAAATTTCGGGCTTGAAGATCGACATGTTGAAAAGTTGATAAGGTTCCTTCTTCCTAAATGGATAAAAAAAAATTATTCAATATTAAATTATTTTTTAAAAAAATAAGAAAATATAATTTTTTTTATTTAAGTCACGATCTGCGTAAGAACGTATATATGTAAAGTCCAAATCTACAGTTACTACAGAGAAAAATAATTCTTTCTTCAAATTAATTGATATTTTTTAATCGAATTCATGTTCTTGCAGCTTGTCACATGGTTTGGTGAATATCAAACTAATTTCATTATTTTATCAACATTTTTTTTAATATATGATTTGCATAATTTTTCCCCAAAATTAAATAGTAATTTAGTGACAATCTTACACAGATCATGACTTAATATAATTTATTAATTAATAAATTACCTCAAATCTAGGTACCAAGGTTTCACGGAAAGTGAAACGAACTAGGTAACTATTATCCTCTCTTCCAACATCTTCTATATTATCATTTCCCGTGTATCCTGCTTGTTCAAATAATCTTTTTTGTAATTGCAATGGTCGTTCGTTTGGTAAAAATATTCGTTCTAAATTTATTTAAAATTATTTAGATAATTATAAATTATGAAAATTTGATCTTTAAAATAAATAAATAAATATATATATATATATATATATAAATATAAAATCCAAATTTAAAATTACCGAGATTATGCCTTATAACATATAAGTTATACTTGGAAATATCGTTTATAAAAAATTTTTTTCCCAACATAATAATTAACTCAGCTGTGGTGGCACTAAGAATACAATTTACTGTACCGAATGTAGCATCGGGTCTGAAAATTCGAATACAGAACTGATAAAAAATACTCATTTATTAAAAATCTGTTTAAACAAAAAGACTATTGAACAAAGAATAATCAAAAAAAATGCATACATTTTTCTTCTCGCCTTCCCATTTTTCATTTTCAATTCCAGTCGGTATATTTTCTTCTTCAGGCAAAATTGTAGGTTCTTTTGTTGGCTTTATTACTGCCCATGAATCAGGTGGTGACCACATTTCTGATCCACTTGTTAAAGGAAATGGTGGCCATTCCATGTCATTTCCCAAAAAGTCGTCTACCATATATGGTGGTATAGCGTAGGTCTCACCTGATAATCTATGGTTTCGTCGATTTATAATTCCATTCATATCATCAAGATTGGTATCCACTACAGGAAATTTGCAAGATGTTAATTTATTTGAAGGAATTAATTTCCTGAAATCAAATGGCTGTTAAATAACTAATAAAACATGACAATGAAATGGTAAAATGATAAAACTAGAAAAGATAGAAGAACGATTTCGGTACAGTTTATTTCTTTTGAAGATTCCTATAAAATATATAGATATATACATATATATATGATATGAATATTTGATTGAATTATCGAATTTTTACATTATCTCTCAAACATTTTAAATATCTTAATTAAATAAAAAGTACCTTCTTTCTCCATGATTTTTCTTTTTTGAGATTAACCTTTACCCAATGATTAATATGATCACTTTTTCCCGAAATTGATGAGAAATTACTATTATTGTTATTGTTATTGTTGTTGTTGTTGTTGTTGTTATTATTAGAAGGGACATTAACGAATGGGTCATCTTTTTCTTGTGTAGGTGTAATTATTAAATTTGGAAAAGAAAAAGATTCGGTATCTGAATTTTTTCGGTATATTACTGAATAATTGATATAAATTTTGTCAATTATTAATGTTAAAATAAATAAAAATGGATACATGATATATTTCTTATATGAGAGTAAGAAGGATCAAAAAATATAATGATTTAATAAATAGATATATGTGCTTCTTAAAAAGAATTGATCATTCACGGATCGGACAACAAACCTTCAGGTGGAGCACTATCTTTGTCTTTTGAACCTTTTCTAAACCATTTAGGAAATATATTTGTCCTTTTTTTCTCCTCTTTTACTATCGGAATGACTATATGATTATTATTGTTATTATTAAATGAATGTAGGCTACTCGAGTCTAGAGCAGAATCGCTATCGGAACTCTTTGTTCTTCGATGAGATCTTTTATTTATAAAAGAACGTGCGTGAGAATTACTTGACGAAGCTGCCGAAGAACCTTTCCCATTATCCGAGTTAAGATCAACAGATTGATAAAAAAAAGGAGCAATCTCTGGAGGAGGAGGAAAATTACCATACCGAACATTCATGTCAGGTTGAGCTGAGTCAAAGGACTTCCTCCTAAGTTCTTCACCTTCAGGTAAAGATAAGGAGTTTCCCCCAGGACCAGGAGACGCAGGCCGTGAAGTTGACCGAAACTTTGAAAAAAAGGAATCTTTTTCTTCACGGGATTTTTTTCCTTTGTTATGATCTCCACCATTAGTGCCAATTGGAGTAGGTGCTCGAGAAGGAAAGGGTGGAGATGTGTCTAATTCTGAAGATCGACGAGAGATCATGTAGAGTATTAAAGGCAAAAGAAAGAAGATGGCAAGAGGAGATGCATTGGATTTTTTTAATCTTTCTCAATAAGAACAATTCATTTTGTTCAATTGTAAACAAATTGTGAAACAAGGCAAAAATGTTACACAAGAATATATAATTACATATCAAATAGTATTTTCTATCATCAATCTCTTAATGTAGAAATGAATTAATGGATATCCTATTTAAATATTTTGAATTCATTAAACAATACATAGAATTATTTAATTATGTTAAAATTTTATTTTTCTTGAATAAAATTAATAAAATGTGAGAATAAAAGAATAAAATTAAATTATGAATAATTTACTTTTATTATTACATATTGCATGATACATCATATTCCATCCTTTTCAAATGAATACCCTCAAAAAGTCAGTTCAATTCCCCAACAAGAATTTCCATCCATCAAAAAAAATATTTAATCTATCATTTTTAATGAACGATAGAGTATTTCTGTTTTTTCTGTAGATATTGTACACAGTTAAGGGGAAGTTTCTTTTTAAATAAATCTGAATTATTACCAACTCTTCCTCTTTCAAATGATTTAACCAATATAGATGGAATAAAAATGCTCAATGGACTGCAATAAACTTATCAAAGTTTTCGGTAAATTGTAAACTCACAAAAGAAGTAAACAAGATAATGATTCAGAATAATTCGCAGTAAATTGCAATTGTTCAATTGTTCATTAACAATAACAAAGATAACTATTTTAACAAATCTCTTAGCAATAGACCAATAATTATGTTTATTTATTAGAATTTAGCTGTTGCTTCTGATTTCTTTCCAGGATTTGCCAACTTTCTGCTTCCAGATAATTTCAGAGTTTATCATTATTAATTGCTTTACTACCTTTACTACCACTTATATGCTATGTTATCATCATGATTACTGAAATAATCTCGGAGCACTCTTGCATGTTCCACAAAGTCAGTGATAAACTTTAACCTCTCAGTTGATATATGATAATCTCTCTTTTTTTCAATTGGATGTTGTGTATGTGTTCATTGTCAGATTGGATTAATAATTATATTATTGATATTGGTTATTTTATCAATTGGAATATGTTCACTTTCCATAACGTGAGTTTTTCTGTAGCAAAATGATTAAAACTCGATTTCCTTTTTCTCCTTGTTATCGATTTCAACTGGAGAAGTGGCTTTCGCCTTTTCAACTAAAAGTTAAAGTTAAAGAGAAGGCGAATAAAATGAAGTGTTTGTGTAAAATGAATGTTTGATTAAATGAATAGAACTTGACGGATTGATCAAAAATCGAGAAATGTAAATGAATATCCATTTTTTTTTTATATGGAAAATGGAAAGTCATGATGTCAATTTAAGATCTAATCACATTAGATTGTAATATTGATATGCTTTGCAGAATTTTCTTTCTTTTTAATAGTAGTTTTCATAACGTTAAAAATTCACTCTTTATTGAGACTTCTATTCTCCTAAGTAAAAATATTTGTTATTATAAATATTCCACCTTGAACCTTTTTAACCATAACTTTAATATGGACACAGTAATTGAAGATTTTAATATTATCACGGAAGGAAATGCTAGCATTCTTTTTCCCAAAGACAATAAAGTTTTCTATAATAATGTTCAACAATTTAATCGTGATGTGTCTATTGCAGCGATAAGGACATGGAGTGAAATTCATTCGGAGGAGAAAGAACGGAAAGCCAACCGAAAGCTGCAACAAGATCCACAAATTAAATGTATTTATATTATGGTTTAAATTAGTATTGTTATTATTTTTTACATTTTATTTATCAATTAATTCCATTTGAAATGACAAAATAGTTGAATCAAAGGTGCACATTATTAATTGAAATCATTGATACAATTTCTATTGGATTTCAAACGAAATATAACCTCCTTTTTTTTCTTATTTTTTAACCTCAGCCTTATAAATTTACAATTTTAGAAGCATTAGCCGCGAGTGGGTTGCGTTCAATTCGGTATGCAAAAGAAATTCCAAATGTAAAATTCATTGTTGCTAATGATTTGGATGAAGATGCTGTAAATTCTATAAATCGAAACATAGAATACAATAATTTGAGCAAAGATTTTGTGAGAGTAAATCAGGGCGATGCTTGGTAAACAAAAAAAAAAAAATTATTATTTTATTATTTTTTGAAAGATCAAAAATATATTAAAATCATAATTTGTTTATAGTTCAGTGTTGTATCAGCATCGAAAAAATCCAGATCGGTTTGATGTTATAGATCTTGATCCATACGGAACAGCTGCACCATTTATAGATGGAACTGTCCAAGCCGTAGAGGAAGGAGGTGAATAAGATTTTATTTCTTTTTAAGGCTTTGTTACAGTTTTTTTTTTCAAATAATAAAAAATTTTAATTTTAATTATCCTGATGACTTAATTATAGGTCTTCTTTGTATAACATGTACTGACTTGGCCAATCTCACAGGTTCAAATTATCCGGAAAAATGGTATTAATATTTGTAGACATAATATTTTGGACGCAATATTAAAACATTTATTAATCATTTACTTATATATAGTTACGCAAATTATGGAGCTATTCCTGTTAGAGGAGATTTTTGTCATGAAATGGTTGGTGTCTTCTACTATTTTTAATTATAATTATGATAATTATAATAATGAAATAATAATGACTGAATTAATTAATTAATATAATATAATATAATATAATATAATATAATATAATATAATATAATTCTATTAAAACATAAAAGGCACTCCGGATTCTTTTGCATACGTTGTCAACATCTGCTGCTAGATATCAACGCCGCATAGTTCCTTTATTATGTTGCAGTATTGATTTTTATATTCGTGTTTTTGTAAGAGTTTTTACTGCTGCAGCAGAGGTAAAGAAAAACCCATGGTAAATAATCCAATAATTATATATATAATTCATAATATTATATATTTCTAAATAATAATTATGTGACACACCTTACCATTGTTTATTTCTATAATAGCAAAACATCAATGTTGCATGTATGCAACGGGTGTCACTCTTATTATATGCAACCTTTGGCTAAATTAACAGAGAAAGGCACATTTTTGCCAGTATCAGGTTCAGTTGTTGACAAAAATTGCGTAAATTGTAAAAATACATTTCAGGTATTTAATATTCTTTAATATTCTTAAAATTCTTAATATTCTTAATATTCTTTAATATTCTTTAATTTTCTTTAATATTCTTTAATATTCTTTAATTTTCTTTAATTTTCTTTAATTTTTTTTAACATTCTTCAATATTCTTTAATATTTTGAATTTTAGATGGGAGGTCCTATGTGGAGTCACTCTATACATGATAAAGAATTTGTTCACAGAATGCTTAAACATATAAAATCTCTTAATGAAGAAACATATAAAACTCATTCAAGAATGTTGGGAATGTTAACTGTAATTTCAGAGGTAAAGATAAAATAAGATTCTTTATATAAAATAAATGTTGAATAATTAAAATAAATTAATTTATTATTAACTTTATTGGAATAGGAAATAGATGTTCCTCTGTATTATAACCCTGCAGGTTTATGTGGTATAATCCATTGTATAAATCCTCCATTAAAGATTTTTTGGTCAAAATCCAATTAATTTTTTATTATCAATTATGAAATCATTCACTTATACTAATTTTATTGATTTATTTATTTATTATTTTATTTTTTTTAGTTCGGCACTTTTGAACAAAGGTTACAAAGTTTCAATGTCTCACGCTTCAGCAGGATCTGTAAAAACTGATGCACCTATGAATGTAATATGGGACGTTATTAGATCATGGGTTAGTGAAAACATAATACATATAATTTTATCTTTCTTCAGATAATTAATTATTAAAGTTATTCTAATTAATATTCTTATTTATTAGATAAAACTTCATCCTGTTACAATGAAAAATATTAAAGAAAATTCACCAGCAAGAAAATTATTAGAAGTTGAACCAGAGTTTGTATTTCCATAAATTTCATATTTATTTTATATTGTATCGTATTATATTATTATTTTTATAACTTTGTTGTTGCATGTTATATTTGACTAATTGAAATTTGTTTTCTGTCAAAAGATTTATTGCAGATTTCACTATTCATGAAAATGCAGAACCTCCTTCAAGAAAAATAAAATTAGTTAGATATCAACAAAATCCTGAAAAAAATTGGGGCCCTAAAGCAAGAGCTAATGGAAAACGTAAAATGTGAGTATTGTTTACCTTAATGTAATTTATTTTGATTAAAGTTTTATTTATGTTATTATTTATCATAATTTTTCTATTCTAAAAGTCAAGAAGTTGATAATAATCAAAATGAAGAACAATCAATATCTTAAAGATTCTATATCCCGATAATAAAATAATTTCTTAAAATAATAATAAAATAATTTCTTAAAATAATAATAATAATAATAATTAGTAATAAAGAAATATCAAATGACTAAAACTTATGTTTTAAAATTTTAAAACAAAGTTATGCAAAATTTAATTTTCTTTTTTTGGTTTCAAACTAAAATTTCTAAATAGAGAAGGAAGATAATGATAATCCAATTTCAATATGGTCCTTTTTAAGTACTTAAATAGTTACACAGAGGTCAAATTTACTGATTAACCAGTTTTTTTTAGGATTTGGTTAAATTTTAAAAGATAATTTTGATTGACAAAAAAAGCCTTCAATAAGATTAAGACCGAAAGAGGTTATACTTTTGATGAAATGTGTTATTCTGTAGAAATTTGTGTCTGTGAACTTGAAGAGAATATTAGTGATTGTAAAGCTTGTATAGTTAATGAAATAAGTGGATGGAGTAGGCAACTTTTATCTAATAAAAAATTTATGGTTCATGTTTTATTTCGATTAACATATATATGCATAAACTACATAAATCTGAATTTCGTTATTTTTAGCCGGCCATAGATTTTATTTGTAATAGCAAAAATCTTACAGTAACAATCTTATATTTATAACTACATATTAATGGTTAAAAGACTAAAATACGTGACGATTTCTCTAATCTAAATTTTTCCTTTTACTGTAGCCTCTATATCAAAGACTCTTCCCAATGAAGTTTGATTCGCTTGGTGATAATTTTGCCTGATATGATCAATAATATCTTGAATAATTTGTTGCTTCACTCCAGGGGAGGAATTAAAAACACTAAAAATTGATTCTGATGGATTGTTAACTGTATTTCTTCCACGAAAGTTGGTATTATCTGAAACCGGCAAAAAAAAAATGTTAAAAAATGTAACAAAACATTATTGGACATACCATTAGTCATATTATTTTTGGATATACCATTAATTATGTCATTTTTATTAATATTTTGCTGTCCGAGTCCGTTATAGTTCCACTCAATGATTAATAGAATAGGATCAATATAATAATCATCATATCCATCTATCTCAGAGACACTGCAATTCGCTTTTACAGTTTTGAACCATTGGACAATACTTTCTTGGGTTCTTTTCACTAAAATCTTTTAGTGAATCCGGCATCTTTTTTTCGCTAAAAATTTTTTTCAAATACATCAAATTAAGACATTGGCAAATAAAAATATGAGTACGATATTTATAGTCAAAATTTGCATGCATCATCTGGTCATGCGATACACTGATTACCAAATTTAATTAACACGTTTTTAAAATATAGGCTTTATCATGTCTGCTACCACCTCTACTATTAACGTTCGAGGATATTTATCTGCACGTAACTATATCCCGTACACAAAATACTTTGAGCTTTGCTCATATGAAAACTGGTCTCTCCATCAATACATCTTACTTATAATTGATAATTATAAGTTCGCTGAAAAAGATACAGCACATTCCTCATTTTTTGGTACTCTGCAAAATATTATAAATAATTTGTGTATATCGCAAGAAATTCGGGTTATTGCTTAAAAACTCATAATCAATAAAAAGGTAGGCATAATAAATATAATTAATAAGATTTGATGGAGCCTTGTAGCCAGGTGCTTGTACCTATTGGGATGCCTAGTAGGAACTATGCAAGTGCTGAAATGGATGCATTTGTTGGGATGCCTGGCAAACATCATGGAATTTATTGATATAAATTTTTAGTAAAAATTTGTTGATTCTGAAGCTATTTACCTTTCTTTACATTAAGTGGGCATTTGTCAATGAAGTAGAATATTCTCCAACATTTCCAGAAAAGAAGAAAAGATACTTTTGTCTTCTGGTAGATAAAAATATCATCATGCCCTGGAAAATGTATAAGAAGATAGCATTTATTGCAAAAATCCAATTCTAGAAAATGAAAATTTCTTGCCAGTTCTTACACAGATGTCCACTTGATAAAAATTTATCTATTGATATATTCCTGCACCCACCATCTGATCTTATTTTTGCATTATTGTGTTTACTGGAAAATATTTCTCATCTGGTTTTGCTTTTTATAGGCCGATATAAAAAAAGTAAATGGTTTGTGGACACCATCAAATCACCATCATCACCATCAGTAGAATTACCATCATCATTATCACCAACATTACCATCTCCATCACCTATACATGATTATTGTGATAACAATAACAATAATCATGAAGACAACAATAATAATGGCAATGATGATAATAGTGGTAATAATAATATCAATAATAGCAATGATAACAGAATTGTTAGTGGTTCTATTCAACATGAAAAAAGAGTAGTACCTATCTCCTTGGAATAAAAAATGGGTTAATTATGATAATGATGAAAATGATGATAATAATAATAGTGACAATAATAATAATGAAAATAATAACAATAATGGTAATAATGGTGATAGTAATAATGATGAAAATAATAATAACAACAATGACACAGGTCAAATACAAAAGATATTCCATACTGAAAAAGAATTCCAATTTTAGCTGATTTATAATATAGGATACAATAGGATAGTTGATTGTTACTGATTTAATAGTTCTTCAGGTACTATTACAGATAACAACAAACAACTTTGAAAAAGTTCAAAAGAAAATAGTAGTACTTCCTCAGATGCTATTACAGAAGGTTCAGACCTTCCAGCTCTATAATGTAGTAATAAAAAGAGGAAAAAAGTTGACTATAATATAAAATTCCTAAGGTTACTGGATGAAATCTATTTGAAAAGGTAAAACCCTTACTTATAACAGTTAAGACTATTGGCAAAATATTTTGTTATTGATGAAACCTTATTATTTGAAGAAATCTCAAAATTATATTTAAGTTTTAAAAAAAAATTATATAATGGATATCAATTTTAGGGAGATATGTAATTTTTAAAAAAATATAAAAATACATGTTTATAAATCTTTTAATTTTAATAATTTTTTGAGCCAATTCTATAGATCTAGATGAGAAAAAATAGTAATTATAAAGGTTTTTATATTGTTTGATTTACATATTTATTAACAATGTTGCTAGAACACTAACTACTGTTAACCCTGTTCCTCTATTTTTATATATATTCTTAGTATAACTTATTTTATTATTATTTTATTATTATATTAGTATTTCGTATATATATTATTTTATCTATTTTTAGTTTAGTATATTTATATTCTTGTATCATATTTCAATTATCAGTATTTATTATTTATGTAATTTAAGTAACAGAGGTAAAATATCTTTGATATGTAACATTATGTGATGCAAGGTAAAATATCTCTGGTAGCTACTGGTGAAATACCTAGGTAAAATACCTCCATCATTAATAATCATATGGGAATGTCATGGAAACTTTTGGAGTTTTCTTGAAATTAGTAATTATAGTTTGCGATATGATCATAATTTTATATAAATAGTAGCTGTTTCTGCTCCTCTTGAAGGAACAGTTAATATAGAATTGAATATTCTAATAATTCAAAATAAAAACATTATTTATAAACTGATATCTTCCTTGATGAATCATACAGTTTATATTGTAACTTTTTTAGTGAAAACTCTCTTGTTAATTGTTTTGTTTTGTGATTTTGGCAATTCTTGTTATTATTACTCTCTTCTTGATAATAAAAGTAATTGTTGATTAATAATATCCTGCTTTGTGACCTTGGTATTATAGTTATTTAAAAATTAACTCTGCTTTGTGATCTAGGTTAAGTTATTAAGTTCTTTGTGAATTTGTTTAGTTTCTTGATAAAACTTTGTTGTCTTCGTGACTTGTAATAATGGTTAGTTAGTAAATCCCTACAAAACCTCACACCCTTAGTTTCTTTCAACCAAGTCCACATTATCCAAATCCTTCTTATCATTACTTTATTAACAGTAATACCTGTCCAGCTGTAGTTAATTGTTATAATGTTTAAAATCTATAAATACAATTTCCACTACCAGTTACTTAGTTTTCTTTAATTTGTTTAGAAGGTAAACCAAGGTTAATACTACCTAGACTGAATTGAGTTTTATGTTGAGCATTCAATAAATCTTGTTTTAATTTAAAAGTTAAAGTCTGAACAATGCATTTGCATTTTTGTTTTCTTTTCTGGATCTGTATTTAATTTCAAAATTGTAAGGTTGTAATCTAAAAATTCATTAAACACAATATCTTTTTATAGGACTAGTATATAATCAGATTAAAGCAAAGTAATCAGTAACAATCACAAATGATTTTATACCTAAATAATGGTGAAAATGTTCAACTGCCCAAATAATAACTAAACATTTCAATTTGGTTACAATGTAATTCTTTTGCACTCCTTGTAAGGTTTTACTCATATAAGCAATTACTTGTTCTAAATTTTTATTATTTATTTGCATAAGGACTGTACCAAGTTCTTTAGAAGATCTATCTGTTAATAAATAAAAAGGTTTTTCAAAGTCTGGATATACAAGATAAGAGAAGTAGTTAACTTTTCTTTAAGAGTATCAAAGGTTTGTTTATATTCTTTTTTTCCATTTAAAATGTACTTCTTTTTATATTAATTGATATAAAGATCATACTATTTTAGAAAAGTTATAAATGAATTTTTTATAGTATAAAGCTAATCCTAAAAAGTTTCAGACTTTTGTCATATCCTTAGGTTAAGGGAAATATTGTACTTTTTCAATTTTTGCTAGATCTGTAATAATATTTTGGTCACTGACAATATAATCTAAAAATTCAATTTGTTTTTTTAAAAAGTAACATTTATCAAAGTCTAATTTAAAACCAGTGATATATAATTATTTTAATATTTCTTTTAATTTTTTCAAATGTTTTAGAGTAAATATTAATATTATCCAAATAAACAATAATACCTTTACAGTCATAGGAAATGTCACAAAATTAATGGACAGATTTTTTTTACTATAATATCGTAATATAAATTATTGGTACAATATAGTTTCTAAGTTTATAATCCATATATAAAATTTAAAATCTGTTGAAATTAATTTAATTGATTAAAATTGTCAATTTTTAAATTATAATTTTAACCAAAATCTTTTATAACTTTGGCCAAATTCATAATTCTGGTTCAAATTTAGTTAAAATTGAAAAATTCAAATTTAATTATTACTGATTTTCCTTTATAACATGTTTCATAAATTAAGTGATACAATACATAGAGTCTAAAAAAAGATTACCCAAGTATTATTTAAACAAGTGTTTTATGTTTTTTTTCAATTAATCAAAAGTCCAAAGTTATTGTATTTTCAATAACATTAAATTTTGACAATAACATATATACACTAATGTCTCAAGAAATTAATCAAGAAAACACTAGTAAAGATATAAGAGACAATAAAAACGAAGTGAAAAATTAAGTAAATAGTGAAATAAATAATGAAATTTATTTTTTTAAAATTTTTTTTATAAATCAGAAAATAAATTAGATGAAAACCAAATTATTTTTAATTTTAACAATGAATTAAGTGAACTTTTTACTCAAATTATTAGTGAAAATGAAGAAAATAATGATATAGAATTATGTACAAGTGAATATAATAATGATATTGAAACAGAGTTAAAATTAGACAACAATAATAATGAACAAAACTTTGATTATATATGTGATAAAGAAATTAATGAATTTATATCAGATAATAAAGAATTAATTAATAAAGAAAAAAAATCTAACGTGCAAACATCTATTTTACAAGTAACACCTTGTGTAATTATTGATTATATTCAAGATACAATTAAAAGATATGGAGCAACATATAAACTTAGAAAATTACGAAATTTATATGGAACATAGCAAATTGATCGAGATACAGTTAAACAAGTTAGAGATTATTCTAAGTTAGAGGTTTGTAATTCACATTTTTTATTTGATCAAAATCAAATTCATAATCATAAAGACAAAAAATTAAAAAATTTTAATGATGCAATAATTCAATATCGAAAATATATAGGGTGTGAAAAATATATAAATTTTTTAGCTATGGAGAAGGATGCAGTAATTATTCTTGATTTGTTAATAAACGAAATATACAAGTACCTTGTAATAGTTAGTATATTGTAATGTATTAAAATAATCTTCTATAGATTCTTTAATACTTTGTAAATGTGTTTATAATTAAATTAAACAATCAAGATGTATCTGTTGTGTTTGTTATATACGTGTTGCCCAAATCCCAAATCATTTGGGATTTGGAATGCCAAAATCCCAAATTACTAGTATTTGGGATTT